CAAATCGTACCTAATTGCGGCTTCCCATCAATTCGCTGAAATTCGAAGCACGGAACTTTTAGACCTATAAGAATTAGTAAATGTACATGTATCAAATATCGACAACCTTGGGGTTGAATTTTACGAAGAATTATTCAGCATCTGCGAATTCTATATTTATGACAACAAAATATTGACAGAATTTATATGAGGAAAGGAAAGGACTAAATGAAACACTGCTGGTGAAGAGCGGGAACGGCGAAGTCGGATCCTTGGCGGCCTTGGTGCTATTCTTTCTCCCGCTCGTTTTGTGATCTCCAATCGGCGGGCCACTTTGTTATGGTCATGGAACAACAGCATGCACATGAAGAGTGTTTCATGAGACTGACTGAATCATAAGCGTTACTGATTCAAGAAATGGCGACCACCAGCGGAGGCTCCAGCGATTAAATACATACTTTTTATGTGCTCCAGCTTTTCGCGAGCAAAGCTCCATCTTAGTCTTTTCGTAATCTTTGACGTCCTAATTTTTTCGAAATTAGCAATGTTTTTTGCAGTTGAGTTATTTGCGCAAGTTTCCGGCTATTGTCTGACCAGAGCATACAAAACAGCAAACGAAAGGAACTCGTAAAGTAGCCGTCATGACAGAGTAATTGAATGCAGCCAAAGCGTCTCCATCTAGTCACTGTTGCTCAGAAATTTTTATTCGAAAACATTAACTTCCTTGTCCCTACTTCTGTGCATGGTGCTTAATTCTGGGTAAAATTTGTCCCTCTTCGTTAACGATGAAGAGGTAACTAGTGGGGGTCCTTTAGATCTTGTTTTACGCCAATTTCTACAACATTGAAGTCATCGACTGTCACTATATGTAAACAGATTCAAATGAAGAAGTAAAAGCAGTATTTGAGATGAAATTTGACAAGCAATTTTTTTCCCAAGGAGTGATATCGCTTGGCCTCTATTACAATTCTATTCACTAAACAATTCTCCGGAGCTAGCGTGGGGACAGTGCGATCAAAAAATTGTGTGATTGAGATTGCAATTCGACAATCTTTGCTTCTAGATCCAAAATCTCTTAAGAGACGATTTCAAAAATCTACTAAGCTTTCAGATAGCGAGAAAGAGGTTTTTTGAAGGTTACTGCTGACTAACTCAAAATAGTGCGTTGACACACTAGGCGAAAAGCTGACAAATTCTTTAGGATATGATTACCAAGCAACAACCCATAACCATGCAGCTTGTACGATGCTTCACTGAAAATATTTCTTGATTAACAAAAAGCAATGTACGAAGCTTGGATGTTAGGCAAATGATAACATGAGCCTTCGTATGTGATAAAAAGAAAGAGGCGAAGTTTGGAAGCTCTATGACGCATTCTCATGTCAACATTTCTAACTAAGAAGTTTAGAACTCGATAAACAGTCGTGGATTCATACTATTTTTAACTTAATCTAACTCACTGTATTCTTTTTTAGCAGCATCTGGCATGGCTATATTTTGTCTCCCGCTTAAATCTTCCTCGGGTACCTTCAGTTTTCATATCAAATGCACCATCACGCTAGTAAATAGCAGCTTGGTGTTTGAGTAATAATGACTTTTTCTCGGAATTTGGATCTTCAGAAGAAATGTCAGTGGTAATGCTCCTCTTGCCAAGTAAACATGCTCAAAATGTGCTAAAAAAAACTCCAGCCTTGGATCCTTTCCCTGAACTTAGCAAGCCTTTTTAGACAAAGGAGAAGTTTTTAAGAAAATTCAGAACAGCGTGCACCTTGAATATCTCAGCTTCAACAAAAATATGAGTGACTAAAAATTTCGACTAAGAAAACTTTGACTGAAAAAGTGTCTAAATATATTAGGCTGGAAACTAAGTTTTGCAACTGGTTTCATAACTTCACTCTCTCAACGTGGCGCACTCAAACCTTGGCATTATGTAGAATGCAATGTGAGCTACAAGTGAGCACAAATTGCCTAAATTTTGAACACGAAATAGAAAAGTTTCAGGCGTTTTTCGAAAACTAGTGAAATTTGAGAATTTTTGGGGTTTCAAGCTAAAATGAAGCCTTTTGCAGCCTAGACCATGCGCAGTAATCCGGATTCGTCTGCAAATTATTGCTGGAGGTTGACTCCTTTGGTCTATTAAAAAAGAAACAAAATTTAGGGACATGTCGAGATTTGGCGTCCTCATAAAGTCGAACGAGTCGATGTACGCAAGAGCTGCTGGGGACGACCGTCAGTGACTAAAGAGTCCGAAGCTCAAATTCCTCCAAGACTTTACATAGTAAGGTTATTTGACCTGCCAAACGCGAATATCGCATTCATTTGTTGAATCAACGCCTTTTTCCTTGTTTAGGGTGAGACCCCATATCGTACACCTACAGTAATCCTAAGCCCTTATCACGCAATTTCAATATCGTTTTCGTGATCAGCATGTCGGATAACACCCCTACGCCAAGTTTCAGCCAAATCCGTCGAACTTTGAATTTTTCCCCTTCATACCATGCACCTACCGTAACCCTCACTGCGACGTCAGAATTTGGTTGGACAGCAGCTGCGCTTGTAGCTTGCGTAATAACCAACGCAGTGGCAAAATTTGAGTGCGCCATGTTGAGTGAGAGGGAAGATAGAGACCAGTTGCAAAACTTAGTTTCCAACCTAATATAATGACAGCATGCAGTTCGAGCTTCTTACTAGTTTCAAGAAATAAGACTATCTTGTCTGAAACTGAGCTAGGAAGGTTAAGCTTTCTACTTTGCATATTCGAACAGCTGGAAAGCTCATGTCACAGGAATAATCAAAATGACGCCGTCCAAATGAAAAGACCTATACTGACTCTGACTTAATGCTGATTCCAGTCACCTTTGCCTTCCGCGACAGTTATTTCGAAAACACAGTACCATAAGTCAAAAGATGGGTAAAACCTTGACAGTTGTTATACAACAGTATCGTACAAGGTGCGTCAAAGTTGCTGATGAGCGTAAAGAGATACAGAAGGAAATTTGAACGGAAGATCAAGCTTCACTCGGTTTTTTTTTTGAACCTACGAGAAAAGCGATAGTATTAGGTTGTCCGGAAAATAATGTCGCATGGCATCCTACCGCGAAAGAACGACCACAAAAAATAGCGAAAGGGTATCATTTGATAGAGCAAAGCAAGCTCTACAAGGTAGTTTACAAACCTCCGTGGAAATCTTGCTCCACCTGAAGTTCGAATCGAGATAAAAAATTTCAAATACCTAAAAATCGTATCTTCGTTCACGTCATAGGGATCTCCAAATTGACCAGGCATGTTCTCTCCACACGAGACATTCATCTGTATAATTTGTGGTATTTTTCCATGGCTACAGTAGGACAAACAGAAATAAGACAAAAGTGCGAGCATGTCGTTTCTCGGTTTTTTGCAAACAATTTAATTTTTCTCGAAAACTAGCGCTTGTCTAAAGCTGAAAAGCTCATGGTTATACCCCTTCAAGGTTTATACTACAGAATCACCCATGTGAGAGAAGCTCAGGATCGCTTCGGCAAAAATATGCCGAATTTCGTTTGCTCAGTTTTCAGCCATGGAAAAACCGAAAATGTGCATACGAGTGTCTCGTATAGTGAGTCCATGCGTGAGCAAGTTAGGGGTTCCCAGGACTTTTCTGCACGGAGATACGATTTTTTTCGTTTTTTTAGGTCTTCAATGCCTTATGAAATTTGGCTCACTTCACGCAAATCAGACCTGGCGCGAAAGTTCGAGCTTCATTTTGTAGAGCTTGCTCCACAAAATGAAGCCTGATCTATAGGTTGATACCCTGCTGTGATATTGCATGATAAAACACAATGCGACATTATTTTCCGGACAACCTAATAGTTGAAGTGGCCTAATGAGTCGTGCATCGCAAGGCGAGATATAGGATGCCTACGTATCTGAAAACTAGCTTCTGTATTTGGGTTGTAGTGTCTAAGTATCGCATCCACGTTGTAGCTTTAAAAACAAAGATGCAAAGGCGGGTTGCGAGAAGATTCAAACCTGAGACTTAGTGCAATAAATGCGCATAGTACGTTCTGCTGTTATATACCAATTGGTGTATCCACTTAGTCAAACTTATATTTTTTCTGGAAATTTCAAAGCAGATAATAACTGCAGCCTTGGGGCAATTATCACTAGCTTCGCAACATGAAACTTATCTCATACGGCTGCTCTGAGCAAGTGCCCCCTTCTTAGTAACAACCATGGATGTCTACAGAAATCTGAAGCTTTCCACAACATACTTTTGCCGGAAGTATTTTTCCACAAGTTTACGCCTGGAGGGTACCCGCTGTTTGTAGAGCAAAGATCTGTTCTGCTCACCTATAGCTATTTATGAAGTCAGGACCAGAGGGATAATTAATGATAATTTCACAGTATAGTTTCGCAATCATCGTTGAATTTTCTGTCAGATTCTATTTAAATTGGCATGGCTGATATGGCTTGGTATTATGGCTCACAGTAGTGGTCTGACATGTACGTGAACTCCAAGAATCAGGTAGCCAAAAGTTGAAGGATTACCGCGCACAGCACGGATAATATCAGTTACAACTTCCCCTTTTTCGTCATAATTATGTCAAATTTGGAAAGTTTATGAGAAATTAATTTAGACGATTTCTTTCCAGCCCTCGATTTGTGACGTTAGATGAATCAGAATGCAGCTATGAGACAGAATGTGCAGAGATACGTCTAAAAAAACTGCAGAAGAGAAAAAGCACAAAAAGGTGGCACAGACAAAGAAAAAAAGAAAATTCTTAATCTGCTGGTTGCTGGCTATGTGTGATTTAATCAATAGGTGTTTTGACTTTCTGATCCCTTCTGAATCTGACATTGCTCAATGAGTGGTAGATGTCTTGAATACTATGGACTTTCATCTCTTGCGCCAAGGTACACTACTCCCCCCCTCCCCCCCCCCCCCTCACCCGCAACAGGTCCTCTTCATTTTCACCTTTCGAATTATATACGATTCTCTAGAGGTAAAGGATGTGTCTAATCACCAAGAAGAAAGCACCCGGTCCAAATATTCACATTTATTTCATCGTAATACATGAGTTCAATAAATAATGTACTCTTGAGATTTATACATTCTTATTCCATGATCTCTTCAACCAACTTCACTTTCAAACATGACGGGCGGCTCATTGCCACTATAACATGGAAATCCTTCTGAATCTTTGTTTGATAATGGAGTATATCGATAACGGATAGCAAAGCCGCATATTGTGACGGAGCTCCTGACTTTCCTCTGGCTGCCATACAATAAGAAAACAAAGCACTGTTGTAACGATCACGTTCTGCAGCTAGGATTTGTTGTCCTTCTGGGGATAAGCCTTCCACCGCTAAATAATAATTATCATATCTTCTAGAGTCTTTGTCATATTTATCTAAAAAACTGGCAAAAATTTGGACCAAAAATTGACAAAAACCTACTGGCATTGCAGAGTATGAGCGCTTTCAGAAGCACGTACTCCTTTTTGTCTATTTTATTCCGCATTAGCGCACCAATACAAACTTTGAAAAAATTCTCTCTCATAGGGTTGTTCAATCTAAAAGCAAATTTACGGAACCTAGTCTGATACTTTTTGCACAAAATACGCACATGAACATGCTCGGTAAGACGGGTGGCGTAGTCCCGTCTGGATGGATTACGGTAGAGGATTTCTGCTCATAGGAGAAAAATGCTTGAGTGACGTTGAAACACATCAGAACTACCGCTTTCATGAGAACAATCTGAAATACGTGGGTATAAACACACTAAATGAGCAAACACGGGACTTAGACAGCGTCTACAGCCGCTTCGCAACCGCTCGCGACCCTCAATCGATAGCGGCAGTCAGTCAGCTACAGTCCGTCTCAACTGCAGCGAGTCTTTTGCGTTCGCATACGCATCTGCAGCTCCGCCCAGAACTTCCTCTGCGCACACTCTTGTAAGATGAACTGCTTTTTCAAGATTTTATGTACATTTTGTCGATCTCAACCAAGGTGACCAATGATTCAAAATAGAACAAAAAAGGTGCAAGTAAGAAAATCGGCTGTATGCGGACATTCAACTGAGGCTACGAGTTGTCGTTGAAAATTTTTTGTGGAAATTTTTTGGTATAGAAAATCACAGTGCAAAATTTTCCCTGTGAGAACATCGATAATCTCATTTGAACACTCATAGACTTATCACTTTCCTATCTAAAACATGCAAGAACGGGCCCATCCCACCTTTTACCAAATGCCTCGAGCGAAATTTTCATTTCCCTAAATTATAAGTTTCAACGCCAAGAACCAGGGCATGAAAAACTACACGCGCAATAACCACTGGCTGCCACCATAATTGGCGCTCGCGTGCGGTTGCAACGCGGTTGCGAGGGACCGCGCGGGCGAGACTTTGCTGTTAGAGAAGCCTACTCACATACTTTGTGAGTAGCCTCAATTTTTATATATCAGTGAAATGGGAAAATACCTGATCCTGACGATTCAACTTATGGAAAACGGAGAATGTCTTCGCCCACTCTATTGAGCTCATAATGTCAAAGAGGAACCAATTTTTTCTAGAGCACAACATTATAAAAGTGTGTGATTATCATCTAGAGCACGTACTTACCTCTCGGGCTCCAGTGAACGTAATGGAGTTAGATCTCCTGCTCGGACTTTTTCTATCTCTTCAAGTGTCGGTACGCGATTTGGTAACGGCCAATTCGGCATTGGCTGCAAATTCAGTGCATTTGGTAAATTTTAACAAACCAAGTGAACAAACCCCCAATCTCTCGCCCACGCTCAACATACTGGCTGAAGTGATCAACTGCTCAAGACGTGGCACTGTCTTCGGATGCGGATTGTATGCGGATTTACGAAATCTTGAAAAAAATTGGAATGATGACGTCATTGTGTAAACAGGAACTTTCATTGATACTGCGACTGGATGATCGAAGAATGCTTGAATATGCCAATGTCCAAAACGGCACCTTGTATGATCTGTTCTTGGCCAAAAAATCTAACTGTGAACTTCAGACCGTACTTCCTACCGTACTCGAGGACATGGAAACAATACGGTATGGGCTGACTGCCACTCGAGTAACGGTACAAAAAGGTTCCCCATTCTCTATCAAGAAACGTACCCTTTCAGCTGGCTTGGCGGCTAGAAGGCGGGACTTCGTGATCCATCAGAGAGCATGCGGAAGGGACGCAGACTGCGTCGCGGGCGCGAGCGGCCATAATTAGGTCACAAAGCCCCGCCTTCTAGCCACCAAGCCAGTTGAATCAAAGGTTCACAGTAGGTTCCAGATTTGCGTGCACTAGGCCTCCAAAAAATGTAGAAGCACTATAAAATCCCCACTTTTCAGTCTTTATCTCCACGTAGACAAGTTCTTCTATCAAACGATCCATAGCATTCTCAACTACGTACAGAGAGCGTGGAAGCGGTGACTGAAAAACTGAAGGCTTTCTCAGAAATTAGCATAATAAGAAAAAATTACCTTCGACTCCTTTGAGGTACCAGGCTCCTGATTATCTACATATTTTCTTTTGCTGATAATTTCCTGCAGCATGTGATTATCACGGGCATCTCCAACTAGCTGTATAGCTTAAATATACTTCGTTCAAAGCTAATCATGGGTCCTTTCACGAAAATTTACCTAGAGGATTCATTCCAACAGCAACGCATTGCTGAAATCGGCATGCGCGACAGCTGCACCGTCTATCTGTTTAAAAATAATTAATAATATACAAGACAACGGAAATGCACAGTTAAAGAAAAAGATGTGAGCTGCAGCCGTGAACAATTTTGAGAAATTATGGAAATTTTTGCCTCTCATTTTTTTATTGGACTATCTCAATTTGTCGAGTCAAAAAATCCTGCTTCTTTTTGCGAAATACCTTCCGATAAAACAAAATCATAGGCGATTCACCACATGCACAGAATGGACGCCGTTGCACCCGACTGAGATATTCGTGCCTTGGAGAGACAGCAGACGGGCAGAGAAATGAAAGAGCGCTCTATTACTGAGACGTAGATAGCTCCCGCAGCGAAGAACCGTCTTTGCGTGCGATGAATCGCTCGACTAGAGATGCCTCATAATATTCGTATAAGATTGGATCCAAAAAGTGTACAAAAAAATTCCAATTACGTCAAACAGGTTGCCTTGCTCTACAAATAATTCTCCAGTCCTCTTTTGAGGATGAAGAGAATGAGATCTCAAGTTGGGAAACAGGGTGCAACCTGAACAAATTCTAGGAATGTAAATAGTTGAGCGGGTGCGAATGCGGCGCGTGCGTATCTTCACCGTTGTAAATCCCGCGCCTCATGCGCTCTGCGGCTAATAAAGCCGAGCTCGCGCCAAATATTGCGCCTTCGTCATGCCGTAGCGTCTATGTATATGTGGTGTTAGGCCATAACGAATTTCCCCCTCCCGTAACAAATTAAATGATCATTGGTATTGACATAGAAGAAGCAAAAATGACCTTTCGGCAATGATGCAAAACATTTTCCTCCTTTTTTACATTCATATTTGCGCTGAGCCAACACTGTTCGCCGAAAGAACGTTTTGCAGCCATTGCACGATGGAACCTGCAACATGTTTACATATCACAGACATTCCATGGACCTAATGTCGTTTAGAACAAGTAAAGTCTGGACGAGTTACCTCATAGTGATATCCAGAGGCCGAATCACCGCAGACAGCACATGTAGTCGGACAGACATTCTTTGGATAAGAACTGTACGAAACAATCGCTTTGATTGTTTCGTCCTGCGATTCGTTCGAATCCTGAGCGATGTCCTTCAACATCGTTGGCAGCAGTCTGAAAACGGGTTAGGTAGAAACGGCTGTCGAAAAACGAATGAAAAGAGAACGCTACGTCATCGTAGTGATAGAGGAAAATTATATTAGGTTGAAACGAAAGTTTTATGGCAATAGTTTCAAAACTCTCTACTTGTGATGGATTTGTATGCTTCCGATTTTGTTTGGAAGGAAATCATGCTCTCTAATTTGCACATCCTGCTTAAAAAAATTTTTGGAAGGAAAACTATTTGAAGTTCGATTTTTTGTGCCTGGCAGAAATCTAAAACTTGCAAGAAAAATCGAAGCAGTCGGAATCACTTTTTTTATTAACTAAACTTTCAAATGAGTAAAGTTTGCTTTAACGTCTCTATGGAAACTCATGTTTTTGCACGAGCAGTACAAGACAGTAAATTTTAGTAATAATTTTTAAATTTTTCAATTAAAATTTTAATTCCAATTGGAAGAATTTTGATTGTCATTTTTTTCAAATTTTAGGCCATTTTTCAAAAATCGTAACTATCCGTAAAAGTCGGGCTCTGACTTTTACTGCAAGCTCCATATTCCTAATGTCCAAACAAGGAAGAAGAAAAATCGATATTCGTTAATTATTTTAATAACTCTATCCATGCAATATGTGCTCATTTAAAAACCGAAAGGAATTGTAAAAAGCATGATTACTTCTTTCAGATGAAATCAAATTCATGCAAATTCGTTAAGTACGCAAAAAGAAGTTAAAACATAACGCAAAAGAACTTTCGTTTCAACCTAATGCAAAGCAAAGAATGTTCAGGTAATCGATGAAGTGAAGTATGTATACACTTTGTAAAAAGAACACCTTTCTACAAGCATAATTAAAGCTTTTTCTCTCTTATCAGCGCGAACTCATCATGACAACGAATAAATGAAGATTCACTTGTAATTGCGACTAGCCTACTCTTTATAAAAATGTAGAAATGTAAATGCATAGCCCAAGGAAAAAAATGAAGGGCAGACAGAGGCCTGTGCAACTACTCCAGGTGGATGTACGTTGCTATGATACTAAGTCTGAGTCATATTGTAACGAAAGGCAAGTTTATACAGGCAATATGCACTTCCCTGCACACTTGCAGTAATAACTAGACTACACTTTAGCACAGGAAGCTTTCAGAAAAAAATCGTAGCGCGAGAAAATTTCTAGAAAAATTTTATAGTGCGAGAACATTTCACATGAAAAATGTACAAATGCCAGTGACGTAGAAAAGACCTGTCCTTGGACCCGGTGACGAAAACGGCTCGTGGCACTCTCAAAAAATTCTTTCAACCTCAAAAAAAATCACCCAAGACCTTGGTATCTAAGGAATATTTCAACAGATAGCACAAACTCTTTGCCCTCCCCCCCCCCACCCCCCAGCTATCACCTGTATTAGTTGAAAAACCAGTCATAGATTGAAGCGGATAATCGGAAATTAGCGCTGAAAAAGGTTGTGCAAAATCTCGTAGCTCTCGACGGGTTAAATTTTCATATAAACATACACAAATTGGTATTGCACAGAAATTCATAGAAATCTTGTCACCATACCACCTAACATATCAAAAAATACTCAATTCTTAAACAAAACTATACCAATTCCAATTTCTGATATACCAAAACAAAGCGTTTTTGAAATGTCAAATACGATTACGAATAATGGTACTCATAAGGTGGGAGGTCATAAAGAGAGTTCTTATGAATAACTAAAATTTGCCACTAAATCACGAGCCGATCGAGGATAGCGTAGGATTTGTTTACGAAGATATCACAATATTCACAAGTAGCATCATTCCTAAATCATAGTGCAATCCTGTATCTTTATCAATACGCTGCGATGGAATGTCAAAAATTCTGCCATGAAAATCTGGACATTTGGATAAAAAAGGCAAACAATGGAAGAAATGCAATAGTTTTAGTTTCAAATGAACTGTCTCTCCCAGCCCGCTATTATGTTCATGCAAAACAACAGCAGTACATCCACCGTACCTTTACCGTAACACACGAGAGGGTGAAAGACTCAAAAGAGTTTATAAGAGATACCAAAGTTACAAAAGTGTCAAGCAAGCGACCTCCAGGACGTGTTGCAGCAAATGATGTGGTATGAGTACAGCAAAAGTAATTACTTCAGTGAAAACTTAGTGCAATATTCAAGTTTACGTAATGTTTCCCCGAATTGCATTTTTTCGAGTTGTTTCTCGCGAACCTATGAGAATTCGAAACTGACCGAATACTATTACTTAGGACAAAATCAGACATCTCAACCACTACGGAGTGACTAACTTCGTCCAACAAAACCATGACTGTACGAGTTTGATGAATGAAATAATGAACTAGGCAAGGTCAAAGAAAAGTCTCTTATATAAAGTAATTAACCTATTTCGAAATTTTGACAACTTATTGACATTTTTGGCAAATAAAAGAAGACAAAAAACACCCCGAATTACAGAATGTGGTCTTGGACGTGGACCAGCTTGAGTCAGACATTCGAGATGCCTCGGTTTCAATATAATCGAACCAAAAACTATCAAAATTATTTCCTTGGATGACTCAGATATTTCAACTATTTTGGAAAAAAATGAGCCTTCAAGTAACAAATTTCGAAGATAGACACTGAGCCGTAAAAAAACCCTTTCATTCCAAAGAAAATGACAGATGGGATAATTTATGCGTAACAGACGCGAGGAAGTTCAAAAGTGTCATAAGAATCGCGGAAGTGTATAGCCTAGACTGTAAAGTCAATGAAGTATTCTTGCGTTGTCGACAACATTTACGTGTAAACAGTGGCTGCGCGTCCTATGTCTGAGTCTTTACGCGCAAGTCGCAAGCAAGTTGTCGGCATTTGCCAGGAATAACTTTGTTTTCGCGCAGATGCTGTAATCACCGCAAGAGCACTATCTTTATTTTTGGAACTACTAGACTGTACATCACGGGCTGGTAAACGTTGGCAAAATCTCAACAATAAGAAGTTTGAGTCACACAAATCGTGCCAGTATAGATATAGCTTTCTCTAACAAAATATGGTAAGTGAAAAAATCGAATGCACAATTAGTTGTGCCAGTCGATGCGAAAAGTATAGGATTACAGACGGCTGAGACCAAACAGAGATCAATGGGTAATACAGCAGTGCGCGAACAGACAACACCGATGGTTTTTCCAGCGGAAATCCCGTAAGGGTAGAAAGATTTGCAAAATGAGAACTAAATTATGTAACATTCTTGGAACGACCCAGGTCATCGCTCCTAATTTGCGCTGTATAAGAGCACTGAGGACGCACTAAAGGAAAGAATAGTTGACAACGGAGGGATTTCGCAAAAACTTCGGAAACCGGTAGTTATAAACGCACAAGGATGGCACATTTTTCCATGCAGGAGACCTGAGCCAAAAAGTTGAAGACAACGTTCAAAAGTGGGCTAGCGAGCCATTTCGCTGGCAATTTGCCAAGCAAAGACCGAGAAGAACGAGGATGCCCAAAAGACGAGTTTGATACGGCTGCGATCGTGAGCGGCTGCGTAGCGAACGCACCTCAGCACAATTTTTAGCGCAGGTTAAAACGAACTGTAAACGCTAAGGGATAACCCTGTCCACATAAAATTTTTACTCTTCAGCGTTTTCCACTCCAGATCAAGATGAAAAGCTTTAGGAAGAGACTTTCTCGCCATTTTCGCTTCTCTAAGATTCCTGGATTGAGCGTAGCGGATTAGTTCAAGTAAGCGATTTGCTAAAAATTGATCTTTTCCCGGACTCTAACAAGCTAGCAAAGCAGCAGCTCATGTGACTGAGAGACTCAACTTCAAACGCTCGCCCAATATCGTACTCGAGAACGCTGATTGGTCCACGTAGAAAAAGGTCTGCACTGGGCGATAGTTAAGAGAACTACAAATTTTGGACGAAAATTAATGAGCAGCCATTTGAGCAAAGGGTTAGTCAAGGCCTTTCAAATGTGAGTCTGAATTACTTGGCGACTGCCTTCAAGGCTACAAAGTAGAAGACTTTGACTTTTTGATTAAGGGAACTCGTGCTCAAGTCTGTTCTATGAAATCTTTTTATCAATATGTCGAGCAAACTCTATTTACAAACGACCATGAACAAACAACTTCAGGATATATTGTATAGATGTTGGAATTTGCAGCCCTTTTGACTTCTGCTAGAAAAAATTCCCATGAAAGACGCACCCGGCAGAACTATGCATTTCGAATTCGCGTTCCAAATGTCCTTTTTCAGTGCAAGCCTTTTTAAATCGTTCGCAGGGGTTGCTCGGGTAATCGCACGGAACGCTGACCGGTAATGAACGAGTCATAAAATCGTTGCGCTAAATGTATTTGAGCGCTTTATCGGCTTTCCACCAAATTTCCTGGTGCATACGGAGTTTTTTGGTGCGCCATATTCAGTCTGCACATTGAAACTATAAGTCCAAAAATAGACGAGCGTTCTTTGGTCTGAAAGAGTCTGCAGTCCAATGCTGCGCCACTAATGGTCATCTCGCCAATTACAGCGCAAGCTGACCAATCAGAGGCGGTGGTGAGAAAGTGATACAGCAACGCCACACCCATTCTATCAGTGATGCAATTATGCTATGTGAAGACAAATAAAAATAAAAAAATTGGTGATTAGCAGCAACATCAATTTAGGCGAAAGTGCGTAAAAAGTGTGAGAACAAGTCTGCTGAAAATTGGAAATGGACTCAGAGAATCGGAGTTCAGAAAAAATGACCGTTTTTCAAGCATTTGCACCATATCACGAACTCGACCACCAACAGCCGCCGATAGCGAAAAGGAAATAGAAAGGCAGTCAGACGAACTGCTGGGAATAAACATGTGCAGGAAATGATGACAAAGCAAATGTACAACGCAAGTGCACTTCATGCAGCTGCGAAGGAACACTAATTGTACCGGTAGACGTAAAAAATGTGATGAACAATGTGCAATTTGCAGAATTACAGCCACTAAGCCCATTGTAGTTGAGTTATACATCGAGAACAAGGTTATGCTACTGCTTCACAGGAAAAAGGAGATAAGAAAATAAGAACGCAGAAAAATGGGTGATATCCACGGCACATTGCAAAGCGGCAGTTATCGACATGAAAACGGCAAGAGAACAAGGTGTATCAATAGGGGGAAAGCGAGCAGCGCGGCAAAAGTAAACTCTAATAGAACAGACAATGAATTTTTCAACGAAATGACGTCGTGGAGGGTCGATGATATGACGGGGCGCGAATCAATGCCCCCCGTGCAACAGTTAGAGCGCAAACAGTGCCCTGCCGTGCCCGTAGTCAGGCGACAGTCACTTTTGTGCGATCTTCCCCCCCCCCCCCCTCCCTTCCCCGCTTAGCTCACCCCGTTACCGAAGGACATAGCATGTTGTGTAATTGACGTGAGGTAGTATCGGGTGGTGGCCTCGCCCACTGAGTTAGGGCCGCTTTTCTTTATGCATGCAAAAAAAGTCGCATTTTTTCTTGCAAGAAAAAAAATGCTGCTCATTCTCCCTTTGGTAAAATGCCAACCTAAACTGTAGTCCCCACGCAGCCTATGACAGCCCTGATTGTAATGGTTCTTGTCATTCTTCGCCTGCATCTGCTAGACACATTCGTTATTCTAGTCTAGTGGTACATGACTTCAAGCGTACTGTACAAGCACTCTGCCACGTCTGGCTACCGTAATCCTGCATGATTCCCAATCAACCTCTTCAATTCCCAGCACTTTTTGTTGATGGAAGCTCCGCCCCCGATGAGTTTCGAAATTTTTGAAAGCAGCTTACACGAATTATAAATTTACTTTGTTTCCAGCCGTAAAGACATTGGAATATTCTTTGAAATATTATTAAATAATATAAAAATAAAATAAAAAATCCAGAAAATTTCAAAGGGCGTAGCTAAAGCTAAAGCGCTTTCCCACCAGATTGGGCCGTCGCTATTATCAAGCAGGCAACTTTTTTGTCCATAATCTACCTACCAAATTCATGAACTTCAAATTGAAACCAAAATTATCTCGTAAATGAAGAAAATCAACAATAACTTGCTTACCGACTTGCTGAAATGTACACACTTTCGATAACTAAATAACATACAAATGTAAGTTAAAGTTCAACTAAAATAAAGGAGCTCTCAAGTTAAAAGCATAAAAGACGAAATAAAATACTGCATAGAACATGTCTCACCAATATGGATTTCAGAGTTATAATTCAGCATACAATAACAACACAGTATTAAAATGCTTTTATCAATCAGTAAATTTCATTGAAATGGCAACATACACAAATACACATAAACATATAGAGGATTTAACATATCACCGCGCAAAACTGTGCTCGTTGAGTTTCCAGATGCACTCTTTTCACTAGGAGAGAATCACGAATTTTCTCGTCATCATCAATATCAAGTTTTATACTTTCTTATCACAACAGAGACTGATGGACTCGATATCGACAAGACAAGAGCGTCTATAGAAATTCTAAGATTAAATAAGATTAATGCCTATGGTGCAGCAGCCTCGCGCTCATTCTAGATATTATAAATTCTGGGCTCTATATCTCGACTAAATTTATCGCCACGAGCAATGGGCTGATCAACGGAGAGCTTCCTTGACACATCATGAGCATGTATAAGAGAAATTCAAGCAGAACTTACGACATGCTACAAACCCCGTAATTATTGAGAATGTAAACACCAACGAATATCGTCATAACATTTTCAAAAAATCAAACTTAACTTTAGTATAACTTCAGTAATAGACACGTTATGTACAATAAAAGTGAGGCATCTTCTTGCATAGGCATTTGAGACATGTGATAAAGTATACGACAAATTGAAGGAAAAAGTGGTCGTGACAAATGAGGATTACGAAGCGAAGTAGATCGATTAGGTTAAAAATGGAAGTTAGACGAAATATGTGTTCTATACAGAATAAAAGATCATCCGCGAACCTATTCATGCAGGAGACGTTCGACATCAGTTGTGTCAAGTTCGCGAGTTATCGTCAGAGCCTGACATGCTACATCACCGACGGCGCTCAATCGCTCCAATAAATGTCTGTAGTCAGCGGAAGCGAGAACACTGTCGTTATTATCAAGCGAGTATAAAAACCTGCAAAAGTAACAAAACAATAATGCAAAAAGAATAAAATATCGAGATACAAGTGATAAAGAGAAAGAAAAATGCGAAATAGAAAAAAGAAAACAGTAATCATACCTCTGTAAGAGCGAACTATAAAAGGAGTACTGTCGCGAAACGCCATCCTTATTTTGTATTCCGACTGATTCAGAATCAAACACTATCAACAGTCCGAGTATCAACATGACACTCTCATTACTGCGTAATTCTTCTTTGAATGACGAATAATACCTACAAGAGATTCCAAATCTTGTAATGATGCATAAAAAATCATTACTCACCTTATACAATGAGGCAAAACCTCTGAATAACGTTGATCCAAGGGCTGGCCCATAATGCGAGGATCATTGGGAACATAGGACAGCGCGCCATGAATGACCATATATGGTATACATGACCCTGAAAAGCTTAGAAGTAGAAGAAACGTTTGCTGACACAAAACTCACTTCGTATCAAAATGCACTGGTCCTGAGTGCAGAACAAGCTAAAGCATGGCAGTCTTCTAAGCATGCGAACAAAACGACGGATGCTGCCTTCGGCAAAATTCACCAATAAGGGATTAAACTCATCGGGTCGAGAGCTAAAAACTTAGTTCTTCGTCCGAATTACAACAAAATAAAACAAACTTACGGGTCCAGTCCATCATAAGACTTATACACATGATTTGCAGCCAAGACATCGTTCACAGACACGTGATCAGCGGCTGTCAATGCGTTCAAATTTGTTGAAGCTAAAATCACAATATGTATTACGCATCCTATTTCGGTTTATCAGCCCTTCAAACAATTCGAAGGACTAGAAATGCCTAGCTTGTCTATGATTGGCCATCGCTACCAAGTCGCATGCTATCATGCAACTGTCTCGCATTTTGACTGGTCTCAAACTCGCTGATCAATTTCATCATAAGCAATTCAGATAGCAAAGCGCTAATGATCAAAATTTTATGAAGAGAAATAGAGCATATGTGAGCGAGAAAAAAGAAGAAAACATGAGACAAACCCGCTCAAAGTAGAAAAAAAAAGCACAAAAACCCTCACCAGGAACAGAGTTTATCCTTGTGTCAACCGTCCCTGAGTTCAAGTAAAACGAATCCCTTCGACCACTGGGCCGCTCATCCTGAAATCCTCAAGTTAACAAAAACGTTTATCTTCAAGAAAAGTGTATCTGTCACGACCAGGCGCTCCCTCTTCCATAGCAACTACGCATACGCAACGCGTGGACACTGCGCAGCTATCTCCGACCGATGCAGCAAATTTGAAGGCTCAAGCGATGCACCCGCGAACGCGGCACGGTACTCTTAAGGAGCAAATCGCTAACACAGACTGTATGTCCACTGTACCACCGCTCGCACAAAAGAGGAAGATTTTTTGCGTACTCTTGTGAGCTTCTCAAAAACACTACCGAACTTTCTTTGGAAATTAGGTTGAATTTAATGCAATATGGAAGCACCAACATAAACTTCTCCAAAGAGTAGATCATTTAATAACAACAGTAATTCCTCACCACTACAGCCCTTGGATCGACAGTCGGTGCGCAAGCATTCAACCACTGGACGCTTGACTCATCCGACGGAAGGAGCCCATTCATCTTGAAAAACTCATTTTCAAGGTAAAAGAAGGGAAAGTTGACACTTACATGGAAATCTTCCGCACTTTCAAGCTTCGCTTCTTCTTTGTTCTCGACACTGTTGCTCACAGTCGTATTACTCGTAGAAGCTGAATTATTTCCTGCAGCCAAGAGATCTTTCGTGACCTAAAAAACACGAGACTTTTGACAGCATTTACGCTGGAACAACTTTCAGACTGACTTCATCTACTATAGCGCAACCTGGTGGATAACGACCGCATGTACATTGGCAGGTGCAATTCACTCGGGGAGGATTGTTTTCAATGAGCTTCACAAGCACCTACATGACAAGCAAAATATTTACAAATGTAAAGTAGGAGTGATTATTCACTTACCTCTCTTGGAATTGTAACCATGTCGGACATGGGAGTGATGGGGTTTGGAATGGGATTGGTGATTGGATTCGTTATCGGATTGAGGGATGGCGTCAGAAGCAACGAAGTAGCTGGAGCAGAGGCCAAGATAGGCGCCTAAAAAGCATAGGCCTTGTAAGAATAGAGTAAAATAGATGTGTACAGAAAGCAACTAGCAAGAACTGACTTGATTAAGTGCAGGAGCAATCGGAGCAGCGATGGGCGCAGGAATAGGGGCAGGTACGGGCGCAGCTACTGGCGCGGCGTTCACAATGTGAGCAGCAACTTGTTGTGCAACAGCAGCAGCTATCTGTAACATACATAATTCGAAAGTAAATTCAAACGAATAGTAAGGAACCAACCACCTGATGCTGATTGATAGCAGCCTGGACTTGAACTTGCGCTGCAGCAGCCGCTGCTAATTGTGCTTGGGCCATCAATGTCGGATCCACAGTATTGACCGCATTACTTTGGGGTATGACAAGCAAACCTAAGAAAACCTCATGTATGCGGTGAAGGTGAGATGAAAATCAACACATACCAGTCTCTACGGCAGGCGGTATGAAACCGCTGCTACTCATGGTAGTAGCCGGATCAACATCCATAGTTGGAGCAGCAGTCGTCGTTGAACTGACATCAGCAAGCGATTGGGCAACTGAATCAATCGACTAAGAATTTAGAAAGCAAGAGGGAACGAAACTTTGATATACCTGCTGTTGATCCGGCATCCAGAAGCTGAGGAACCACTAACGGAACTGCTGTATGTTCTTGTGCCCTAAATTTCACTTATTGAAGAGGACGGAGGTGTTGGTTTGAACTATGAAAACACTGACATGTGCACACTGTATATGTCATCACCAGGTCGCATCATCGTCGGCGGTTTCTCTTCCTGGCCAACTTCGATTATAGTGGTGGTGGACTCAGACTGAGGCTGTGCATCTTGCATTTGACTTGTTGTATTCGGTTTCATGCGTTCAGCAATATCAGTATTATCATTAGTATCCTCATCGTCAATTACATCATTGCGAGCCATCGCATCTGCCAGGCGACGTTCGCGATTTTCTTCAACTCGTTGCTTCTTTTCTAATCGTGCTTCATCAGACATGATCCACTCTTTTTTCATTCCAACCTGTGACCAAAACTTCTTTGCTATTACGTTCAAACAGATGAAAGATGTAGAAGCAGAAACATAAGCAGGAGGAGATTAACTTACATCAAAACACTTTGCTAGTCGACACCTTTGGCAGAATCGACGAGAAACTACATTGATTTCGCACTGCTCGTTGAATGGACATCGAATTTCTCTCTCCTGACAATCAGAACTTGAATCATAAATTGTGAGAACACTCTTGAAATATTGCCAACATCGTCCCCAAAATCTATAGCAGATCTACCATTCCAATCATGCTTGTGCAGAGAATCTGGCCCGATTAATTGAATTAAGCAGGTCTGCCGACACAAGATGTATAACAGAATGTTGATTCATTTCAAATCAGTCTCTAGTAAATAAGAAAGCAAATGAAGTAAAGAAAACTGTCTGAACAGATGTTTCATATGACTATCGAATACCTTATTTGCATTCCGTCGGAAAAATGCCTTGCATGATTCGCAAGTGATAACATTGAAGTTGTAGCTAAAGGCTTTGTCGCCACAGACGCGACAAATCTGAAACTCTACGATAATAAAGAACAGAATAGTTTGGAGACGAGGAAACAGTGATAAAATGAATTGGATATACCTTGTTTGCCGTCCTCTTTTCACCTCCGCTGCCACTGGAAGCCGTGTTTGTTCGTTTTCGATTGACTGGCTTTTCAGAATTCGAATCAAAACCTTGAAATTGGGAATGAGCAAACCGATCAGATAAAACTAGTCTGATAATAAAAAACATTATGGAAAGAGCGCGATACTCATGAAATTCGTTAAAATTGCGCAATGATAATCTCGGCAAGTATTCTACTGATAACAGCGAACTGCACAACTGTCAAAGCGAAAAACGGGGCGATCTTTAAAGAGAAAACGGCCAGGAGTGAGACCGGTTCGCTACAATCAGCGCCGCTGCTACGCAAATTTGCAGTAGATGGCGCGGGCTCGTTGACGGATCGGTTTCCATTCTGGGTGCGCAGACAACGAGTTCCCGTAACCATAATAAGCGAGATTTCGACGCATAGTATGATTTACAAAAGCATGAGCACTAAAATTTGAGATTTAAGTACCTGGCGAGTTCGGTTGTCCGGACGGCGAAATTCCCAAAACAGATGGAGGCGAGTGTGGATTCTGGTCGTTTCCGTTCAGATACCGTATCCCCTCCGAGATGCCTATAATCAGCTTCACAGAGACAAACACGTTTTTCATTCGATGGGCATAAAAGGTGGAGATTTACTTAATAACTTAGCTGCAGAATTCGAATTGCAGTTTACTTCAGCGGCTTTTTAATGACAGTATGCGCCAAAAAATATCAATTTTTAAAAACGCACGCCCTTCCTCAACCTAACTCAAGCTCGCTTTCCTATGTATCATCTTATGAACTTTTTTCATTAGACGGATTATAACACGAGGCATAATATGAAGTAATTTCAAAAGCTGTTGCAAACTTTCTGGCCGTAATGCACACGAATGTGAAAACATGGAGCAACTATAATAGAGAGTATACAACAAGAACGGTTACTTCAAATACGTAAGACTTTGAGGTAAAAAGTTCATGACATTAGAGAGTGATAGTAAAGGGCTTCAGCAATAACAATGATCCGAATTCGCGGCATTACGTCACAAAATGTTTGACTGTCAAAAGAATATAAAAAAACTTCCAATACATTCAAGACATAGCGACAGTCCCACACATGGCTGATCATTAATGCACCACATATGATGCGCTGCGCAGTTTTCTGCGCTGCAAAGCTTTGAAAACACAATAAGGCGATTCCAGTGTAAAAAAACTATTCAAACATTGATGTAAAGAAAGCAGATTTCTAAAATAAAGCGCAACCTAAAGACTTACCGAAGCTCATAGTCTAGGTGAGTTCTTCGGTATATGTGATCTCTTTGGGAGTTGGTATCCGCGTTGAGTCGGCCAGCTTGGACGACAAGTTCGGTATGTAAAAACACGCTCGAACTTTCAAAATGAAGATCGGATCTCGTATGAGGCGTATAACACTATTAAAAGCCGTTTTAACTGAAATATGTGGAATTACTCTCATTTAGTTCATCTGCCTAAAAACGATGAAAATGCAAATAAAAAATAGAACCGGTAAAACCACTATGCACGACAGTTACCAAAACACAAAAAAGATACTGAATTAATGATTGGCAAAAAAGCAACCATAGACTGCAAGAACTGACAGGGCTATAAATCTATGAAAAACTCAAGTCTACTCTAATTGAAAATTAAGAACATAGCTTTGAGTGAATGATGAGAACAGCTACCTTGGAGAATGGCCACATTCTGCTCGAACAGTACGTTTTCAATCGACAAAACCTACGCTGAGACCATGAGATGAATTCAAAATTTCCAGAATACTACTAGCTAATAAACAACAACGTTAGATATGAAAAAACATAGAAGAACGATATTACTCAAGGTCGTAAGGCGTAGAAGAGATGATCAAGAAAACAGAGAAAAAAAAACGAGAAAGCAAATGACTTATCGAAGTAATCAAGTGTTATGTCACGTGCACGTGAAAGGGAACCCCCATACGATCCTAAGACATGAGCGTACGAGAAAAATGGAAGAATTCGCATCAACTAACAAACCGAGAAAGACGAAAAAAAAGATTTTAGTTTCTGAACTTAGACACTTACCAAAGTCCCGCTATGCGGATGACTGAACAAAAACGAGGCAAAACTTTAGCGAAAGGTTTGGACAGAAAAATCTTCCAATAATTTTTCACATATGGATTGATATTACTCGCCCACATGCATGGTATTATGTGCTGTTGCACTCGTGCGACCAATGAGGTCATCATGGGGTCGTTCTCGATTCGTGCACTTCACCACGGCGAAATTACCTTGCAGGAGCTTTTCTTTGTTTTTCGGGAACACTTCAAGAAGATGTATGAAGGGTATCGATGATAAGGCGTGAGGCAAACTTTGCAAAAAAACTGGAAAAAAGATTCCATCGGAAGGATATATAAGTGCTCAAACCAGCATTAGATGGATAGAAAGGATGAAAACGAGAAATAACTTGCGAACTGCCCTTTAGGGATTGAGCTAGCAAAAGTTCCTATTAATAACTGTGAAAGTATGTCTTAGAATATATTTTGTGAATTTTCTCAGCATCATCAACAACGCCAACTCTTCATGAATTCCTCAAAAGCTAGTAATATACAATGTCCCATGCATATTTGAAGCCAATAACTTGTGAATAAGGACTGGAAAATTCAGATTCAAAATACAAAGGAGAAAAGTGAGTAAATTAGGCACAATGCAAATGCCAGATGTGTACACCAAGGTTGTTGCGCACAACACTCAAAACACGCTATAAAGAATAATCCGACATAAAATACAAGTAAGACAAACTAAACATGACTTTCTTTAGAATTTAAAACCAATAAAATAAATGAAGAGTCAAGACAAACCAAGAATCCAACGTTTCTTTTTCACAACGGCCGATCAGCATCGAGTTGCGGGGGGTGCGGTTGACCGCCACGCGGCCGCTGCGCATCCGAAAACACTCCGATCGGGTTATCACTTGCGTAGCGAGCAATAATCTGTCCTTGTTACGTAAATAACGGCGAGAAAGCGCATGATCTTGCGATGTTGACTCGGTCGAGAAGACTCGTGTGTTGTCGCTTTGTTGTCAGCAGATCTTTGTTACGCGCTGATCAGAAATGAACTCAGCTTTGAGCTTTCTTATTTAGTTGTTTGCTTCTTGCACTCAAATTTTGGCTGCTTTAGACACCTGATGCCAGTTTACTTGCACAAGGTTCAGAACAGTGGGAGAAAGTTTCTTTCCTGGTTCAGGAATGAACTCGGAAACGGGCAGCCGTAGACTTTGTTTCCGTAAAGCATCGAAGTATCCGTGATGTCCCGTATTCTCTGGACGGTCCTTAAAAAATCAAGAAAGGCTATGAATCTGTTCGTACCGCCATCACCACTGCAAATTCTAATTTAGAGCAACTTTACTTTCCAAATGGAAGTAGCTGTTATCAAGATTTCAGCTTCACTTGCATATATCATACATCTGAAAAGATCTCAATAACTCGTATTGAGTCCTTTCGTTGCCGACAACATTTGCGCGTAAACACTGAAGTTGTGAGCTTTACAACCGTTTATTACCCGCAGTCGCAAGCAAGGTGTTGGCAATCACAAGCTTGGTGATTGTTTCCGCGCAAGAGTTGTCATCACCGCAAGGGCACAAATGCTAGACCTATCGGGCTGTGCAAAGTCCAACGCACAGAAGGCAAGTCTGTTGGAAAATCAATCGTTCCCCAGTTCCAAGCTCTTAATTTCGAAATAGACTTAGCTTTTGATGCTTAGCAGTCCCCAATGATTTCTACTTGCTTGCGAGTGCTGATCGGGACTTTGGGTCAAGTAAATTCATGATTGCTAATTTTATTTATTGCGGAAATGACTTGGATAACCTGGAAGGAGGAAAAGAAGTACCGAGCGTTAATTGAATAGGTAATTGTTGAGATTAGCTCTGGTCTTAACTGGGAACACGATAAAACCAAAGGAAATAAGCAGGTTTTCGATCTCATAGTTTTAAACTATGAAACTTGAAGCAAATTTCCAAATTTTTTAATAGTTTGTGACGCATTTTACGTAATTTCCGGCTGGTTCTTCAATCGACTAACTGATGGCCCTCTTCCAGAACTTTTTTCCTCCCTTCAAGTCCTCACTTCCTTCCCCATTCTTGGTATCAGAGTGTAACATATCTGAGTTGTTTACTAAGTTTCAGTGCATTCGGTGCTATTTGAGGTCGTTCCAGTGCACTTTAAGTGCAAGAGTGCGTTACGGGTTGACGTGTACCCTTTCATGGGTGTCGTGTGTCATTGCGGACAGCGTGCTGTCAAGTAGTTGGTCATAGTTAATGAGCAGAATTTACTGCATGGGAGATAATTGTGGAGTAACCTACAAGTACTCATTGCGGGGATATTGTTGAATTTAGATGAAGATGCGATTTTTGAAACTTTTGCACCCACAGTATCCTTTGCTACAGTAATCATCGATACACGTATTATAAAATGCATTGATGCATTAACAAAGTTTGAGAGTTATGTAAAAAATCTTATGCACTTCTGAGATTGTATAAATTGACAAGAAACATGCAGAGATAGAATTAAATGGTTTGAAAATTCAAATTCACATGGCTTGTAAAATAAATGAATTGATTAGTCAAAAATGATGTTTACTTACATAAATATCGATCAAATCAAACTAGTCAATCTAACAGAACGAGGGGAAGAAAAGAAAAGCCACTGTTGCAATAGGTTTTATATACCGTCATCTGCACGCATTCATCATGTTACTCCTGTCTCTACTTTATTTTGGGTTTCTAAAATTTATGTGCTGCATTTGAGTCACTGGAACATTCTAGAATTTATCACACTTAATAATTTATGGCTTTGTTACAATAATCGTTTTGGAGTAGGATACGAAACTTTTCTCTAGTGAAGTGACAGTACAGGCGCTTTTCAGGCTTTTTTTCTTTTCAGGCTTTAATTTCTCAGGCGGTTTTCTGATGTTGAAATTTCTTTTGTTTTTCTTTATTGCGTTGTTTTTGGCATCGGTGGTAGTTGATAACTCTGTTACTGTACATAGCTCTAGCCTATAGTTTAGAATGCTGGTGACAATGAAAGATTTTTCAGTAAGATTTTTGATCAGTAAGATTTACTTATAGATTTGTATTGTTTTTACAATAACATTTATGACTAGTTGGCAAACCCGGCTCCGCCCGGGCCTGTCAATAATATATTTGTAATCAGCATGCTCGATTACCCTCCCCCCTGTGCCAACTCCCAGCCCCTGTAGCTCAAATTTTGCAAAAAATCGATAAAATCGATATTGATCGATAACGAAAAGTAGCCTATGACACGCTCCCTGCCCCGAAGTATATGTGTGCCAAGTTTGGTCCAAATCGGTTCAGAAATAAAAATTTCTATTCCGCACATACGTACAGACAGACATACAGACAGACAGACATACATACAAACAGACATTCAGCTTTATATATAAGATGACACAGAACGCCAGAGAAATAACCGCTTGAAATCAGTGTACATTTCTCCTAGCCACCCAAAAGTGAATTGGAGAAGAAAAATCTAGAATTGGTTAGCTTCGCGAATTTATTTCTAAGGATAAGTATATGCAAGCATATTGGATATGAGTGTTACATATAAAAAACAGCTGTACTCGGGTCTTTCCACAATTCTATGAGGATTTTCCAGTCAATTTGACTAGATTTACTCACAAAAACTTGACTACAAAAACTTCGAAAACTTTAAGAAAACCTATGTCTTCTGTCTGTTTGATTTATGCCTAGCATGGTTATAACATACAATATCATCAATCGATTTCCATAAAACTCGCTGAATTTAAGCAGGTGAAAGGTACGAAGAATTATTACAAAAATGGCAGGCTTCATCGAAGGTTTTAGCTAATCTGAGTTTGTAGTACTGGAATGGTCAGATTTTAAAAAATCAAACTCCACTGAAAGTAAGTCTATGCGTTAGTGGACGAATTCCCATATTTGTCAAAAACAGTTGTGTAAATATATCGCAAGATATCCACATAAGCCTTGTCGCGGTTAATCTTCGGTAATCCCTCAACCGCCATTCGGATGCTTTCCAAGAAGACTTCTTCACGGAATAAAGATGTAGATTTTGTTTCAGAAGATGGTTCCTGTTCAGACTGCTGAGGCTCATCCTCCACAGGCTTCAGAACACTGAAAATCAATTCGAATTTGCAGTAAAGTCGTTTGTATGGGAATATCTTACTTTAGACCCAGTTCCAGGCCCACATCATTTGCCTCGGCGCTGCATGAAGGTTCATCTGCAGGGATTTGGAGATTAGGCCGCTTTGGCAAAAGCTTTTCCAAATCATCCAGCTTCCTCTTTTCTGGCTTGCGTTCTTCTTCCATCCTATAAGCTTCTATCTATTAGCGAATATGAACCATTACAAACTTACGGTAAATGGCAGACATGATCCAATGCTGCCGGGTCCTCCAGGAAGGTAGATTCATGAACCTGAAAATAAGATAGGGCTAGCTAAATTGAAATCAATTGTCTTTGATACTCACCATGATGCGCACATATTTTCTTCTCGACTTACATTTCGCGCAAACATATATGTCAGCTTTGCGCGCGTTTTTTCGATGCAATATAAATCTAAACGAAAGGCCAGTGTGAGGATCTTCGTAGAGTAGAGCTCTTGCATCATTACCTGTAACAATGTTGAAATGCACCTAGTCAAATAGAGAGTTCAACAAATCATGCGGCATTTCGTGCAATTTATTTGGTCCCGAAAATTCTAAATTCTCGCCCAAAACCGCTACCGTACTTGAAAAGGGGGTGGTGCAGGAGGAACCAAAGGGCTGCCGCCTGTATACGCAGGAGATAATCAAGCGATGTGGAGAACATTTTGGCAAGGATCCAAGAAACTTGGCAGAGACATCCTTTAGGATCAAATCTCCTTAACTTTGCGTGGAGATGATTTTGAAAAGTATGAAAAACAGATTTGTGATGCAAATTGGAAGGCGCATTCACTGGGCCTATAAGCAGTTGAAAATTTGGAATTGTAATGGTAACAAAAGTCAAATTTTTATAGGAATTTTTTGTTTTATAGATTTTGAAGTTTCAAACTGTTGAAACCGGTGTTTTTATTCCAAATTCATTCTGTTTTCTTAGGAATGAGGAAATGGTTTGCTTTTGGAGTCAGTCCCGCATTCAAACTGTCATAAAAACACACGTGGAGGTTTGTGTCACGATGCAATATGCAGGTCCCATAACTTCAAATCTATTTGAATTCTAAATTTTGACAGTAGAGATTTCACAGGATTTGTCGTTGAAACTATGCCGGTAACGAGTTCGTACACAATAGCAAAAGTCTGATTACCACTCCCTACTTTCAATTAAAAATCCGAGTTTCGTTGGAAAGATTTCACTTAAAATTTTTCAAACAACATTAATCTTGAAATTCCTCAGTTTTCAATGGTGAACTTTGAAGGCTCAGTTTCAGTTTTTGGTAAAAGTAGAACTCGAGTGGCAAGGCAGAGTTGTTTATCTATCCGTTAGGCGTACTACTGAAAAATGCGTATTTCACTACTGATTCCAAATTTGTGCTTCATATCTTCAAAAGTTAGTTCCAAGAAGAGCTATAAGGGTTTGTTTCTAATGGATGTCTTTGCCAAGTTTTCCTGAATCCTTGCCAAATCTTCTCCACAGCGCTCGCGCTTCTAATTATCTCCTACGGCTACAGGCGGCAGTCCTTTGGTTCCTCCTGCACCGCATCCACTTGAAAACGCTGACTGGTTCGCTCAAAAAGAAGAGGGGAGGGAAAATTTTAAAAATTTTATTGGCTACAAGTGAATAAAATGAGTTGACGCTAGGATAATGGGCTAGCTAAGATCTTGAAAGAACTTTGAGGTAAAATAAACCTTGAGAGCGCATACCCTTATGCTCAAGTATTTTCCCATGTCTCAAGGTATTTTCCACATACCTTGAGCCTTTGACCCGTATTCACGAACATACCTCACAGCAAAATTTACCTTGGGGTTTAAGGTAAATTTTACACTAGCATGGAGCAAGGTTAAATCTACTTTGAACTTATATGAGCAAGTCATTACTTCAAGGTAAGCCTAACCCCGAGTTATGTTCGCGAATACCCTCAAGGTCTGTTTCACAAATCTTGTGGATTAGGTAATTCATTGAGCATACGCTACCAAGGTTTATTTGACCGTGGGATTAGTTGATGATACGGCCCACAGATCCTCTTATTTTTTTCACTGTCTCTGAGCCCCGTTCTGCAAAGTTATCATCAAATACCTTGTCTTGCACTCTCGCAAGTCATTTAGGATGACTGACGTAAAAGTGACGCTAGAGCGATTTTATGATTCTATTAGTGATTATTGCTAGAGTGATTCTTGTGAAAGCCTCACAAGGATGCGCTTTCATATGCTGAATACCATTCCTTCAGGTAGACTACATTTTTCTTTGTCCTCATATCATCATAGATTATTTATCCACACAGCCATGCATGACTTGTAAAAAAGAAGAAGATTTGCTGTTTCACCCACCGTGAGGCCCAATCACAGTTATAAAAGTTCCAGGAAATGTTGTATGATCGAATGGTACGGTCGGCTCCATCTCTTTCAGTGTTATGCCTGTATTTTCTTCATCTTCCTCTTTGATATCAGTGAACATCCTCCCTCTCTTATTCTTACAAACCTGAAGCGATACTTCTTCATGAAGCTAATCAGCATATTAATCAAAGCTGAATTAGAATAGAGAAGCCATATATGAAAAATCGAGGAGAATCTCCACAGCTCAAAAAAGGTAAGAATGTGCGATTCCGCCTATTTACTCTTTCTCAACAAAAGGCTTAATGGGCTCAAAAAAGCTCGAGACAACAAAACAATGTCAAGTTCTGCTGTTCTCGAGATAATGCAAGTAAAAAATTCATCAAGTGAAACTTTCTGCGAGAATAGGAAACACAGAAGGTGAGGAACAGACTTATTATGATGGGAAGCGCAGGTACAGGTAGGTCCCGCGCGGAATGCTGCGGATTAATTTGATAAAGCAGCAAGTCTCCGCTTTGTCCTTTCAACAGCTCTAAGCTGCTGTGATTTTTGACGCATAATATCCTAGGAGCAGGTAAAAATTAGCTTCATGTAAGTCCCAAAGGCTTTCTAGGTTTGCCTGCTCCCATGCTTTATAAGACCGAGAAAATGAGTACTGAGTTTAGCGCAGGCCATGTCGCATTCCAAAAACTCGTCGTGCCCTGCACCCCCACCCCCTTCAGTACATTTTGGCACCGCCTCCGTGGATTATTGGTCCCAACACGATGATGCATAACAGTAGGACGAAGGGACAAGCAGCCCGCGGAGGCGGTACTTAGTTGAGGTGTTCGTTCCTCCACCCATGATTTCAAAAATGTGTGGATGAAATATAATATGAAAGTCAATTGCGAGTGATGCTAAAGCTAATTATCTGTTGTCTCGGCAGTTTTTGTCGCTTTTAAGCCGTTAAAAAGTCACCTGGAGAACAATGAGAGTTTTGAAAGGCATTTGATGCAGCAATTTCTCCTTCTTCTAATGGTTATATTCTGTAACCAAGATCTTTCAATTATTGGCTGTTAATTGTTCGACTTCCGATTCACCATTCAATCCCTTTGAACTCCGCTAATTTTAAACTATCGTGCTTGACCCTTCAAGTATATTAAGACAGCACAAATCGAGCGAATCTCATTTATGTATCTGCTACTGCTTCCAGATTTTTTCTTTCCGCTGAGATTTTTGCAAGAATCATTTCTCAGATGAGCTGGATTTTTCAGTGAAATTTCAAAACTCCCAACTCAAACAGGATCTTTTAGAAATTTTAGGAGTACAAGGTCTAATATTATAATTGTGCATCGTTAGTGGGAAACTGTTCAAACTGCTTGGAAATCCAGTTTTTTGCAGTATTCGGTAGGCCTGGGCATTGCTATATCAAAAGCAATGTTTTCTTCTTAGAATACGAGTGTTCAACCTTTTCTAAGTTGATTCAATGCGTATATAACTTGCCATTGAGCAAAACCTTTGCATGCTCGCTCTACGCTTTTTTACACAGTCAGCAAACATTCTAGAAACTAGAGAATCCTAAACGAACTTCGCGAAACGTCTTGAAGAGCTATGGATTTTAGCATGAAGATTGTCTAAACCAAAAAAGCTTAGCTCTTGGAAGGGGGAAAAGTGTACCGAATGATAGTCGTTCGCAGGTAGCTTTTGGTGAAATCTGATGACGGATCAAAAGAAAAAAATTCTGCAACCTCCGAATATTATTAAGTTGATGCACAATCCTTGCACCAAAAAGTAAAAAAGAAATTGTTTTAAAAATGCTCAAACAAACTAATCAGTTTATAGAACATGCTCTTTGTTGTATAGTTCAAAAATATGAAACAAAATCAAAAAGTCAACTTTAGAAAATAGGAATTCGTAACAATTTGCAGAAACATCCAATCACTACCGACTCTCCTTAGTCAAAAGGAGTATTTCATAAAACTAAGAACAAAAATAGATTTAAATTCCAGTAGTTACCACTTCTATTAACGAACTGTCGAAAAATCACATTTTGGGTTTTTCTCTTGACTAGCTTATATCGTTGTCATATGCCCTCCTCAAGGAATCTTGACTTGGGAAAAAACGCAAGATTTTCTCTCTCTTTATTATGTATCAGATCAAATGGATTTATTGAAGCTGAAGGAAGTAACCAATTTCACTTATTTTTGTATAAGATATGCGTCGACCTAATATTATTGGTTATCAAATCTTTTTCTTATCTGATCTCCAAAGTAAATCAAAGTATTCTGAACTAACAAGTTTTTAGATACGCATTAATCGTTTGATTGCGTAGACTTAGGAGATTCTACATTACAGTTGACATGAAACATAAGAAACAAAGGTAAAGTGTAGAAAGTCACAAGACCATGTAGATCTTTCAGTACAAACATCTTAACACGTATGAAATGTGAAAAGAGTAAGATGCATTGACACAGACCACAATTAGAACGTTGATGAAGATCAAGTAAGATGTGAGGATTAGTCAGAAATTTGCTGAGATGGTATGAGTTCGTACTATTGAAATAAAACGACAACATTGAAGATCAGATCTAACGCAGTTGTGTGGGTTAGGCGCAGAAACATTGTAAACATGATTAGCAAGCGGTTTTTCTTAAGTAACATTAACTTTATGTAGGCATGTAACTTTGAAAATGAGAAAATTTCAAATACTGATGATGAAAAAAGTTGTGTAAAAACCCACGTCAAATGATTCGCAATCAATAGATCAGATATTTCATGATTAAGAAGTCATAAAAGCCATAGCCTTTATAATAACATCAGACACTTTTCAAACTCAACACTATTTGAACTTTTGACTTTGAAACTATTGTGCACGGAAAGAACATAACCAAAACAACTATCTACCCAGTGAATGTTGCGTAAATGCGTGCCGGGCTTGGACTCGTTCGATCGCACGGGCAAGCCAAAACATCTGGCAGCGAGCACGTTCCCGTTGACGTGTACGTCAATCGATTGCGGCGCAGTCGCGTCCCGCGTATTATCGTGCACGTGCGAGCCTTTTCGTGCACCCGGTCGGCGCAATGTCAGTGCCGTGCCGTCCCTTCGCACCAATGCACGCTGAGCAATCAATAATCCGCGGGAATGTAGAACTTCTTTTGCGCTGGCACTACCTGGGTTTTCCCCCTCAAAAATCATTGAGTATCCAATCTCAGGGATAGCTAGGATGTGTAGACTTATTTCTGACGCTTAATACACTGTCCTTGCAGTGTCAACATTTACCGGCAACATTTGTGCGTGAGCATATTGCTACGCCTTCAAGACCGGCAACTTGGACGTATTCGAGGCGCACAGCTATTTCCTCCGGCTCACTTCGCACTCGGTCACGCTTTTCGCCGTAGAGCGCGGCAAGCTCTTTGAACTTGGGTCATTAACTATCACATCACAATCATTACATCCACGACCTAATGAAGCTATCTCGTCCCACTGAAGCTTGTTTGTTTTTTCGCCGTTGTCTTCTTGTTTCGCAATATCACATGATGCGTAACTCTGCAATTCTTTTGATTGATATCGGTTATGAGGGGTCTTCTTCTTCGCACAGTTCCAAGTTTCTCGCTTTTCAGCATTCTTGCACATCTTTCTATTCAAAGCTGACAAAATGGCGAAGAATATGGAGAACACTAGTTATCGCAAAATAGATGTGGATGCGTATGATCCAGAGAATTACGACGAAAACGAGGATGGTGAGTCATTCTGCATCTCTTTTTTTCTTTCTCGTTCTTTATGTATTGTTATACGGAATGATTTTCGAGAGTTACGGCTTCCTTTCTGACATAATACGAGCAAAAACACACTATTTGTGACTAAAATAAATATTCAACATAAAAAATGTTTTTCCATCAGTCAGAAAGCCGTGTTCATTTTTGACATTTCTCTGCAAAATTCCTATGTCTAAAAACTCTGGACTTAAACCGAACTAAGTCAGTTCTGCTCTGATTTTGATCCCCGCCATGCAGAAGGAGGTGGCGAGTGATGGCCAGAGAATGGTATGAGCAAGTAAGTTTCATCTTGTGATACTCGTTTTAACCCAGTATCACAAGATGAAATTTTATTCGATTCTGATTTATCATAAAGGAAATGATGGGACTGTGCGGTCTTTCAAATCAGCATTCGATTCATCATCATTCAGTTTTTCCAAAGGGGATCAGTTCAGGAGTTCATGCAATTCACTGGTAAACTCCTCGTAGAAAGATCGGGACTGGGTGCGCGTAGTACTGTCAAGGAAAACGAATATTTTTGCCATTGCTACGTGCGCAGTGACGGCTTAGCAGCGGTCTCCGTTACGGATAGTGAATACCAGGCACGCGTTGCCATGAGCATGATGACTAGAGTGTTGGACGACTTCACATCTAAAGTTCACCCTACTCAATGGGCGCAGATAAAGTCAGACAAAGACTGCATGTATACAACTCTTCCGGAGTTGCTTGCCAAATGGCAAAATCCGCGGGAAGCGGATCCTAGTAACATCCTGGTAACATTTTTGGATTATGATCGTTGTTTCATTTCTAAAAACATGTTTTAAGAACTATATCGCTGAACGAAGCTCTATGCGGGTATGAAATCCCATTGAAACATCTTGACGGTTGTACTTTGATTTTGAAGAATAAGCCAGGAGACATCATAACCCCAGGTTTGGCCTTGAAAGAAATTCATTTGTTAACAGCATCTTTTACATTATGTTTTCATTTGTTCAGATTGTATTCGTGGTATAATCGGAGAAGGTATGCCGCAAAGGCGACATCATGATCTTCGTGGAAATCTTTATGTAAAGTTTGATGTAGCCTTCCCAAATGATCACTTTTTGGAAGACGACACGAAGTACAAGGTTTGTCCTGAGACTCGGTTCAGCATTTTGAGTTTTGTTTGCATGAATGTAATGCTTTTAGATGATTGCCGCATTCCCACCAGTCAGGAAAGTTGCATATCCGTCGAATTGTGAAGAGGTATGTGGTTCTTATTGTTATGTGTGATCACCAAGCACACCTACTTTTGCGGCAGTGGAAATCTTTATCTGTTTTTGCCAAATACTGATTATGTCGCATATGCCTCCGTTTTTGTCAACGCTACCATAATGGAGTTTAGGTGTCTTTGATGGAATACGATGAGAAGCGGTATCGTGGCGACAGAGGAGGAGGACAAGCTTATGAAGAAGACGGATCGGATGAAGAAATGGGTGGTCATCACGGGCCTCAGGTGCAATGTGCACAAAGCTAGAGTCATTCTCAAATCTTCTCGTTTTTTTCTTATTTTTCCTCTCGAATCATTTGGCGATACTATGCTTGATTGTGATCTTTAGATACTAATGACTTGGTGAAATTGTATTCAGTAGTTATTCGAATGAATGTGCTGTTCAACGCTGTCCTGAAAACATTTGCTGTAAATGAATGTCGTTTACTTCATTTAATAAATCGCTTGTATAGTATTCTTTCTTGCTTCTGCAAAATACTAGCAAATTGTTTAGTTTTCTCATCATAGCTAATGTACTAGTGATGAGTCCAGGTAAATTGATTGAACGTTGATGATAAAGAGCGTGCGAGTACTGGGTTATGCGAAGAAAAGTCATAATCAAAAAACTGGGGAGATCCTTTTGGGGATGCGAAAAACTTACAGGGGTGCGAGATACATTGTCAAAGCGGGAACTTCTGCGAGATGACAGCAACAAGTTTTAAGCAACGATGATGTCAGAGTATCTCCCAGGTAATCTACTGCATATCTCCTGTGATTGAGAAAAATCTCTATAAGGATTTACGAGGTTTTTCTGAATGCAATGGGCGGGTTGCTTCTTTAGAGTAGATTAGCAAGCCCCTTAGCTGTTAACAGCCTCAGATCATCTGCGAAACTCGAAGAGAAAAACCTCTGAGTTGGGAAGAGCTTTCGACTTGCAGGTTGAAAATTGTCGGAGATGCACACTGCCACTTAACGCGCAAATGTTGTCGTCAACGCAGAGACACTACACTAATCGCCAAAACGGCTAGACTTTGTGTATACTCAACTGGTGCTTTTGCACAGAACAATACACTGCGAAATCTGCTTTTTTGGTAAAAACACGCGCTGCCTGCGTTTCAACTTAGCATCTCGAAAGGAGTTTTATGCAAAAATGGCTCAATCAAAAGGAGAAAATCTCGAAATAAAGTTTGATGCATAATAGAAGGAACGGAAATCAAAGGTTATCGCTGGTTCCGGTGTTTGAGTACATAGTATGAAACACCAACAATGATGACGCAGTTCAATCGGTGGAGAGTGATTGTGATGTGATAGTTAATGGAACTCCAAGTTCAAAGAGCTTGCCGCGCTCTACGGTGAAAAGCGTGACCGAGTGCGAAGTGAGCCGGAGGAAATAGCTGTGCGCCTCGAATACGTCGGCAACTTGCGCTTGCAAAATGGCCACAGAGCGCACTTTCGCGAGTTTTGTGCACGCTAGATACTCATCCACGTGCAATGCTGTCGACACATGTTGGCACCGCAAGGACATTTCAAGTGTCAGATCTACTAGCCTATACAATCTTATCGTCACAATCTAAGTGATGACAAGGCCCGTATATGACCGCATCAACGCGCAAGCGAAGTTCCACGCTACAGTATGATGGGGCGTGTAGGGACCCCGCTGCACTCGGCTTTGCTCGTTGAACAATCCTTATTTCATTGTAGTGTCGCATTCTCATTGTTTCTAATAGCTTTTAGGCACTGTGGGTCCTGAATGTGCTTGACTGACCAATTGCAATAGGTACGGGAGCGAACATCGCCAGTTTGAGCCGCATTTTGCGGCCAACTGGTCCTTCTGCAATGTTGTTGCATGTCGTTCCAGGACCAGTAGTCCGCGGAGGCGGTCCAAACTGGCGGCCTTCGTTCCCCTATCCAGTTGCAACCCACATAGCTGACACTTCGCTGTCTGCGTATCTTCTCTGATCATCATCTATTTTTACGGTATGCAGGCTAAAACCGCTGCGCCGTTCGGACGCTGTTTGAGAAATGTGCGTAAAAAACACATGTTGCACCAGAATATTTAATACCCTCTTTGCTGAGCGGAATAAATTACAATACACGCAGAGAAATAAGCATCAAGAGTGAAAGACAAGAAGAGATTATGACACCGGCTTGGAAACGATATTACATTTTATACAAATGCTCGTGTCAATTCAGACCTAACCGACTACAAATAGCTCGTGAACAGGCAGTTTCGGAATTACAAGTCTAGAGCTAGTCTCATCTTTCAAGGGGTGATATTGCCAATTGGATTGTCAAGCCAAGGATATTGTTCGGGGCATGGGGAACAGGTAAGGAATTGATGTTCCTGACTACTTAGACCAGGTGTTCGATACATGCATTTGTTCGGTTTAGAGCAGGACCTCTGGGACATAGCCGGATGTTGGTGCAATGGTCCTTGTGCACATTTCACGGCTTCTGACTGAAAGGCAAAATTTCAAAATTTGCATGGAAAAAGAAATGAAGTTGAAGAGATTATAGACAAGTCATCGCACGCAGAGACAGTTCGCCACAGCGTACGCGGTCGGCGCCTCTCCGTTCAAGCGCAGTATCGTTTCTCTTACAGCCGCTGTCTCTTTCAGCTGTCTCCGCCCGAAACAGCGCCCAGTCTCTGCGTGCGATGAATGGTCTATACACTAGCTCCCAACCTGTGTTATTTGACTGAGCGGGATAGGGTTTTTCATCCACTGCAGAAGTTGTTTGAGCGTTACCACATAGACATCTTTTCTGTACAGAACTTCCTCCAAAAATCTGAAAAAAAAGAATTTTAATAATTTCAGCTAAATAGCTGTGCATGAATTCTTACCGTTGTAGCGCTTGCATGCCAGTATTTTTACCATTGAGCTGGAGAAGATCCGCGTTTAGCGCAAGCACATAAGGGGCACGGCTTGCTGTGTAGCTTCTATCAAAGTTGGAGAAGAGCATATTTGTCTGCAAGGAAAATTTCTACTACAAATAGTGGAAGCATAACTCGAGCTCCAAAGATGCGTCGGAAAATACAGAATTTTTAGGCCGCGTATGTCATACGTTCCTATTCGCGAAAGAAACTGAGACACCATCAAATGTTGTACGTATGCCGAAGCTGTGCCAGCGCCACGCCGGAGCCCATGTGCACGCGTATTGATTAATCGACGTTCCGGCACGGCGTGGCACGGCCAACTCTAGACGCCTAAGAGGCAAGGCCAATTTGACCGCAAAGTGCGTCAAAGCATTTTTGAAAATTTTTTGGATCGTCATAATAGAAGAATCCTTTCTGAAAAATGCAGCCAATCTAGGAGGAAGCAGTTGGTGTCCCAGTACTAACCAACTGATCCACAGTTGTATTCAAATCCACAGCTGCACGTATCATACTCGATCTACGGAATCCGTCAATCTGAGGTAGATAAGTTCCATAGAACTGGTTCAACGGAACTGTCCATATACCGGGGAAGGAGCTAAAAACTCAACTTCAATGCTAGTTATTTTCAGCTGAATGCTTACCTCTTCGGACAATTTGCATCATAGCATTCCCATGGAACGGAATGATCAAGTGTTTGAGGCCAGTATGGATCACCCTTCACACCAGGATTTGCAGACATAGAATTGTCATAGAGAAAACCAGCACGTGCCATCATCTATGAACTTCCCATGTAACGAGTTGTATGAAGGAAAAAATGTGCTTAACAAACTTCGAACTGTTCATCGCTTCCTAAGGCAAGTTGTGGTGCACGCATTCCCACAATTTCTTCTTCATATGCATTAGCGAATTTAGCTATGATACGTCGTTGGCCATCCATCTCATTCAGCCATCGATTAGCACTCGATCCTTCCAGAGATACATGTCTTGAAAAAAGAAACTTGATACTGCACTCTCTAATAAGGCAGCGTCCAAAGTTGCCCATGCCAGCGCCATTCCAACGCCGTGCTACGATCGTGCCCGAATCGTGCTGGCGGAGGCAGTGTTGGCACAGTGTTGGCACGGCGCTGTAAGGACGCTGGCGCACGGGCAAACTGTCAAGGACCGAAACGTACGAAATTGAATTAGATGCAAGCTCCATTCCTTGTTGGAACAGCCACTGCACACCATCGTAGTTTGTCCATTCATGAGATATGAAGAACGTAGCCTTCACGGGACAGCCATTTGGATTTCTGGAAAAAAAATCAATAAAATGAACTTATCCAGCGCATAACAAGGAGGTGCGCGGCCTTTGCAAAGATCCTATGTTACCGCAGCCTGTGTCTTCTTGCGGCATAGCGAGGTATACGGTACCATACCGTAATCATGTAAGAGCGTCTACTCTACATGCAATGAGGTGATGAGCAATTAGTTACCTGTATTTAACTGTTTCAAACAATTCTTTGTAATCCGGAAGCGTTCGTCCGTTCACAGCATCGTCGAAGGTAAGCACGACAAACTGAGGTATGCTGTTAGGAGCAAGGCCACCAGGTGGTTTTCGCCCTACAAATATGTTTTCTACCTCTATATTCCAATAATATTTTAATATTACCAGTGCGAGAGCAGAAGCATTCGGGAAGGCGACAAGTTGTTTCATTACAAGGAGTCGCAGGTTGTCTTGGTGCGAAAGCTTTGGAACTGAAGCGAAGACCATTTCCGGCAACGTATTTGATTTCAGAAGATCTGGATGCTGAAAATGGGCAAACTACTTAAAAACGACCTTCAAATGCAATGATATCGATTGTACCGATATGTCTACAGTATCCATCTTCAATGAAATGATTACTGTCGCACTGGCAGAAACCATCAGCACAGAACGAACCGCCCGAACAGTCCTCACCGCGGGTACACGACTGACCCGGTGCTGCGAATGGAGTAGCATCTATAATCACTTCTGGAATTGTAGAGGGGTAACCTTAGTTCAATGAAAGTGATTTTAGACCTTTGCTCCTGCAAACTCCATCGATGATGATATGATCGGCAGCGCAGATACAGATCTTTGAATCGTTGTCACAGATCGAACCACCGGTGCACATTTCGCCTCTGGCGCAGGATTCACTTGGAGCTGCTTTAGGGAGTTGATCCGCTGAAATTGGAGAGGGTACTGCAGTTGCTAAACAGCTACGGGCTGTTGGCACCGTGCCAGAATTAAGTCCAGAATTGGCGTGTGCCGGAACTGTCCCAGCTTTAAGTCAGCGCTTTTCCAGAGCCATGCCACACCTTAACGGAACCCACGCGCATGAGGCCTGCATGTTCGGTTGACTCTGGCACGGTGCTAGCACGGCGCTGGCACGAGCAACCCCCCTAGACGTAACTTCACGAATTTCAAACGCACCTCGTAGACAGCGTCCATCGCGTTCGAACAAATTCTCAGGGCAGCGACAGATACCGTCACGACATTCTCCACCATTGATGCAGACATCATTGTCACGACATCTGGTGCCGAGGAAACGATGGCGTATCACTTTCGGACCTGAGGATGGCCTTCCTTAAAATGCAGCGTAACGAAAGTCAAAGTTCGAAGAAGAAAGGATATGCTGGTGACGGACAAGCGTTCCAAACTTTTGGTAAAGATGTGCACTTACGCGTAGGAGCCTGAGTGGCAGCGGTCTCGTGAGTAGTTTGTACAGTTTCCAGAATAGTTTGGATGACGACAGGAGGTTGTGTAGGAATTGCTTGTGTAGGGACTGTTTGTCGGGTATGTGCAAGATTTTCGTGGAATGTTTGTGGGACTTTGCTACCCTTAAACAAATGGATTTTCCATTGTGGGACTACGATTCATCGTATTTTGACAATCTCACAACCTACCACATTGAACTCGAATTTCTCGCACCATCCACTAGGACTCAAAGCGTATCCAGGTCCGCATTTGCACACATTATCAATGCAAATGGATTCTTGTGTGCAGATATCGCTCAATGGATCGCAACGCTCACCGTATTTCAGCTGACGGAGGACAGGTCCTGTACAAGGTATAGTATTCATAGACTTGATTACTTGATGCAAAAATAACTTTGACGGAAATTTACGCACATTAGACATTTTAAAGATATATTTCTATTTTTATCGGTAGCACATAACAATGGAAAAATTGTATGAAAGACAATGTGTGTTTTGAACATGCTCCGCCTTGAGGCGTACAAAAAATATCATTACCGTACAAAGCGAAGTCAGCAGTAAGTAGTGAGCATTTGATCCGGAAACTAAATTATAATCGCTTGCAAAGAAGATCAAGCTCCCCTTATCGATAACTGTACATTATTACACGCAGTTGAAAGTTTTTTAAATTTAGCTGAAAGAGATTTTAGAGAGCTACGAAGCGCTGTCGAGAAGTGTTTGCAATGCTCGAAATGCCCGCTTTACAAACTAAGCGATAGTTGGTGAGGTTGAGAAATGTAGAAATGATTGGAGGTCGTAAATACACACAAACACACACGCGCTAAATGACACATAAGAAAAGGGTGAGAGAGACAGGCTCTGTCCGAGTTACCGGCTAGAACAGCGGAAGTCAAGCGGGTCTACCATGACTTGCAGCAGTTGTACTCCTCGGTGGCGAAGCCGCCAGTGGTGATGTAGCAGTAGGATCGGGGCGGACAGTTGGGCTCGAGCCCATTGCACACGATAATTCGTCCGTTTTCGTCGCGGGTGGGCTCGTTCCCGGGGGGACAGGCTCCGCTCGCTGTGCTGGTTGTCTTATACGAGCCCGGACTGGTGATACTGGTCGACTTCGTCTTCGGCTTCGGTCGTCGAATTGGCGGTCCGACAATTCGAGGCCGTTGCGTCTCCTGTCTCGACGGCGTCCGCGGCGACGGAACGATTGGCGCTACCGTAGTCTCCGCGTATTCCACCTGATCAACTAGACGTTCTGATGAAAGCGTTTCCACTTTGTGTTTCGCAAACGAGACCGGCACCGGACGCTCGCCGAGCTCGATCTCTGAAATGATTGTTAGTGTTAGTTGATTACGGTACGTATCAGAGCACACATTATTCTCAGGACACACTTAGGCGAGATGAATCGCTTGTTTACGAAAGTTATAGTTAGTTTTATTATCAGAAAGCGAAAACTTTGGTGAGTACAATGCACTCTTGTTTGGTTTGGAAGCGAAATAACGGCACATTGAGAGGAGGTCAAGATGCACCAACACATTCTTATCTGAGTAAAAATATGCGGTAATTTTCTCAATGTGCCGCAAACTCAAATGTTGCAATTATTCATTGTTGGGAACAAAATTTGTTGTATATTATTGTTTTTTTGCAAACAAAAATGTTTTGCGAACTTTTTCACCGAATTCGTTGGAAGGAAATCGCAGACAGAAGCGGTACAAATAGCGCGAGATGCCATTCTTACAGTATGTAGGTGGCCCTTTCGCAACACAAAGTACTACCGTAACCGAGTGTAGCCAGAGCGACACGGGGTTACGGTAGACAACGGTATGATGCAGAAAGGTCTAGATATTTTTATCAGCGGGTATGAACTTTTAGAGGAAATTCATAAATTAGTAAAGAAATGCTCTAGACTTGGAAGTGAAGATATTTGTCAGTCGCATTCGTTAATGCCGAAAGATTGAGAGAAACAGAAAAATAAGCTATCTACACATTTTCTTATGACTCAGCAGAATTTATCCTATGTTCGATTGCTATCTATAAAGCTAAGAAGTACTATTTTTAGATAACTTTTATAGTTGAGGCACACCTACTTCCGCTTACATATTGCGTACCTCTTTACATATCTAAAAATAAAATGATCCTTACGTTCAAGAGGCTCACAAACACCATCATGATCCACAAATCCTGGCTTGCATTTGCATCGCTCAACAACGCAGACTTTATTCGGGCCACAGTTCGTATCATCCACACATTCAGGAGAAGCTTAATACAAATCAATTATGGAAGGGATGGGAAGGAATTCAGTTACCTGAATCAATTGGATTTGTATGAACTAGCGCTGCTTGCGGAGTTGGCGTGATAAAGGTCTGCCCTTGTGTTGACTCTGGTGGTGCCTGGCATTGAACACCATAGACGATATAGCCTGGCGGACACATGCAAACTCCAGTGTCTTGGTCGCAACTGCAGAAATATGGCATAATTAGACATGAATTTCGTTTAAAAAAGAACGGATTTCTTCTAGACCTTGATCCTCCCTCGCATTGCTCGCCATTGTCACAACTGTCCAAGGGCTTCGCCAAAACGACATTTTTCATCGTAGGAGTTGTCGGCATGGGTAGAGCCACGCACTGTCCAGACACAGCTATATATCCATACTGGCAACGACATTGTCCACCTTGGCACCTGCGGAATACAACATTGTAATTTTATCCGGGGAAAGGCCTTTTAAGCGCGTGCCATAGCGGTGCTCTTGTGATTGGTCAGCATTAGCTGTGATTGGCCATTTTCGAGCAGGGCGGAGCAAGGGCGTAAAATCGAACAAATTGTACGCGCAAGCATGCTCCTTAACTTTTGCGAACTGTTCAAAAGGGCCTACGCTCATTTGTATCTATTTCATGAATTGTTGAAACTTACGTGCTCTCTTTCGTGCACTCAGTATTTTCGTCACAGGACTCTCCTGGCGTGGCGATTTTTTTATACTGCTGAGCGGTACAAGTATCTCCTAGCAAAATTGGCTTCTCGGGTGGGCACGCGCAAACCTTCATATGAGTAGTTTATCGTTACAGTAATACAACAAAGCTTATAAATTGACCATTACCATCATTTCTTTGCAGATACTTCCACCAAGGCACGTCTCTCCATTCGTACATGCTTGACCTGGACGGGCATATGTAGGCGTACCTGTGTGAAAGTAGTTCACATTTTTGATTTTGGTGATTCTAAATGGGGTAGTGCAGATTAGGTGCTTCGTGGTGTGTGATTTGTGAAAGCGTGTATGAGGTCGTGAAATCCTAAGTGCTGGCATGAGTCCTTTGTTAGTCTATTGGTTGTAACAACAACAACAAAGTGCAGATAGAAGAACACTTAAGACAATACTTAGAAGAATAGAATTTTGAATAATATTTTATCTGTCTTCTTTGGTAAATGCTGCAAAGCGGTAAGCTAGAGTAAAGCTTTGAAAAAATCCAGCTACCAGGAAATATGGTTCAAATGGGTGATAAATAATATGGGTTTTCTGAATCTTGAAATGGCTCCTTTGCAACGCTACAGTATGCTACCATAAGCCAAGCAAAGTAAAATTTCTGTTTACCGCGACAGGACCCTCTCCAGCATCAGATGCTATCCTTTCACAGGTTACGGTAGCATACGGTCTACTTGTTTTATCGTGGCTACGGTTTCCGCAAATCACTTGAAAATTTCATAAAATCTTTTTCTGTTGTGCAGCCTGTTTGATCACATGAGATAGTGTTAGTCCTTCTCACATAAGGTAAAGAGAATTAGTAAAGCCGGCTCCAAAAAGTGACCAGGAAAAGTCCTAAGTCAAACCTTGATGTCTGGATTTGCCGCCAACCTTACGTCGGCCAGCTTCATCTGGCGGTACACATCCGTCATTAAGCAGTACGTAATCATCAGGACACTGACAGCTAAGATTACGACACACAGTGTTTCCACGACAATACAAGCCAATTGCAGCACATTCGTCTAGTTCTGAAGCTAGATTAGCATTGGTTAGCGTTGGTGTTGAAGCATGCGTTGCGTGATGTGTAGCGGCGGTTCTGGCAGCGGCTTCGGCTGATGATGTTGGTAAGAGACGAATACGTGATGGTGGTTGGTGTGTGTGTTGATGAATGAATTCCGTAGCGTGCACGCTACCTGGTTTGAGCACCATGGGTGTGGTAGAGCCAGTTGGGGACCTTTCGCAACGGCCCTGGGCTGATGCCTGCATCCCGGGTGGGCACACACATAGACCGTCGATGCATGTTGCTCCACCAACGCACGTGTCCAGTGGTCCTGAGAAGTTGGAAGTTTTCGATTAATTTTGATTTAAGGCATCTTATATAGGCGTTAATCATTGTTGAGGAAAAGGTAGACTTTTTGTCCCATTGTTACATAAAAAAAAATAAGGACTTGAGGCTGACAAGCAAATCCCGTCATTAGGCGCCTCCTCCGCAGGCTACTGGTCCTCATATGTTCTGCATTAACAGTGTGAAAGAACCAGTAATCAGCAGAGCCGGTGCCTATTGGCGGAATTCGTTTCTCTACCGTCAGCATTCACTTACCGCAGCTGGAGTTTGGCGGAATCTTTCTTCCCTGAGCAGTGCTGAGATGGTTGAAGTTAGGCACCATACTAATGCCACCACCATTCTGCAAAAAATCTGCTTTTTTAGCATTGGATCTCTAGACTCTGTACACTCACGGCTGGAGGAACAGTTGGTCGTGGTCCAGATTGAATGCAAATTCCTCTTTGTACAATCATATTCGGATCGGGGCAGATACACCAACCCTCACGACATACGGAACCTCCGACGCAGATGCGATTATCCGTGCAAGCACCGCCCGGTGGTGATGTAACTGGCTCACTTTCTAAACTGATTTTCCTATGTATTAAAAGCCTAGAACTTGTGAATTCAAAAATTGAGGAGACTAAGAATTAGTATCAGTAATTAGTTAAAAAATAAACACACCGTTACAGGACAAACTATCAGGAGGACATGCACAACGATCATCTACACACCAAAGATCATCATAACATCTGTACGATTCCGAGCATGCCTCTCCCACGCCGATGTTTCCGTCTCGTGCAACGCAAGTGCCATTTCTTGGTACGCTATCCAGGCTACAAACACAGTGGCCACGATAGCAAACGGAACCCATGGTACAGTGATGAGAATCGTCACACAAAGCTCCTGGTCCCGACGGTCTGGTTATTTTGATTTTAGTGTCCTGGATCGTTTTTGCGCCTTTTATTTGGAATTTCAGTGGTTTCGCATCTCTGCGTACACAAGTAGTTTTGACCATTTTGTAGCCGTCTTCACAGATGCAGACATCCTCACTACAGGTGGCGAATTCAGGACAGTGTTCATCTTCCTTACAACTTAGCTCAGCCTTTATAAACATCGCACTGAGACAGTGTGAGAAGTCTCCATGGCATACGCACATGTTGTCAATGCAGTGATAATGCTCCGAACAGTCAGTGTCAGCTTTACATTCGACGACTCTAGAAGGAGATTTTCTAACCTCATCCGTTACATACATGCATTTGCCGTCGACGAGCAGTTGACCCGCAGGACAGACGCAAGCGCCATTCAGACAAGCACTTCCTCCTCTGCACATATTGTCCATACGGCACTCTTCCCCGGGATTTCTCACCATAGTGCTGGGAACACATCGGCCATTCAAATTAGCAAATCGAGGCAAGCACACACAGACACCTTCCCCACTACAAAAAGAGTTATCCGCACAGGTGGAACGGACCCCACATAGATCTCCCGGGGCAGCGATTCTTGGCGGAGAAGCAAGCGGTTGCGCAGTTTCAACGCACCTTCCCATCTTAGCCGTTCTTCCCGGCGGACAGACGCACGTCTTCGCAGAAGCGGCGCAAACCGCGCCGTCGACGCAAATTTGACCGTCACTGCAATCGTCGCCTGGACGAGCAGTCGTGACGCAGATGCCGAGAATGTCATGCTTGTCTTCGTCACACATACAGATATTTTGAATACATCTGCTTCCACCTAGGCAGATTTCACCATCGTGGCATGCTTCTCCAATTCCAGCCAACTCCGTATTTCTGGGTGCATCGACACATTCATCATCAAGGAATATAGTATTAATCGGACACTGACAAACCAGTCCCATTCCTTGGATGCTCAGACAATCAGAGCCGCCCGTACAAAATTCAAAATTCTGGCAATTCTCCAGCGGAGCAGCAAATTGTCTGTCCTCGGACGAATCCTCCTGGCTATTGCTGGTGAAAATTTCTTCATGTTCACTGTTGTGCTTTGTCCCCGGGCTCATTCGTTTGCGGATGCTGCAAATGCCGTTTTCAGCTGAGGTATTGGGTGGGCAGCGACAGAACTGCTTCTGACAAAGAGAATTCCCTATGCAAATCGAGTCATCACCGCAGAAGTCTCCTGGCATGGAAATTTTGAGCTTTGGGTTAGGTGTTATCTTCTCAGATAGCACATCACCAGATTTGGTGCTGGTTCCCTTGGCAAATGGCACTGGGAAGCTTGGGTACTGTGGGGCCTCCGGAGCGAGATAAAAGGCCTGAGTCACTTGCTGTGGAACGACGTTGGGATAAACCGCCTTGACCTCAGGTTTGCTGGCAAAACTGAAAGGAGGCTTTGTGAAATCGAGAGGGATCATCGAGGATGGATACGCGGGACTTGGTTTGGGCAGGAACATGGACATATCTTGAGCGCTATTCTGCTTAACTGGCATAGCCGCAGCCGAACCTCCAACTGGAATCGGAATACAGAAGTTATTCACCAGTTGATAACCTGTCTTGCACAAGCATAGCCCATTATCGCAGTAGCTTGAACTGTGGCAGTTCTTCGACGTGACACATCCCTGTCCAGGAGCTATGCTGGTTCGTTCGCATTTACTGTTCGTAGTCGCCATACCGCTGGGACATTCACAGACACCACTATATAAGCCACAGTAGCTGTTGAATGAGCACACTTGGTTTACCATGCAGCTTTCTCCAGGATGGGCTAGTGTAGCACAAGGTTTCAGCGGATCATTGGAATTGATGCAGTTATCGTTAACGGGCTCACACAGCCCACCACTTGCTCGATACCCACCCATACAGCGACAGAGCTGCTGAAAGCAGAAAGAATTTGCAGGACAGTCGTCTCGGCCTTTGCAGTTGTAGCCAAAAATTGTCTGGCTCATCTTGCGATCCCCCTCGGAGTTTGGATTAGCTTTGAGCAGAGCTTCGAACGTCTCCAAATTCTTCGTCCTGTCTAGCGTCGTCGCAGTAGCCGGCGAGCTTGTCGCCAAAGGATTTGGAAAGTAGATTGGCGTACTTTCAGTACTTACACTTGGATACTTGTTGAACACTGGATAGACCTGTGATTTCTTCACACACTTCCTGTTCACATCCGGCACTTCGTCTTCAGGACACCTGCAAATGCCATCGAGACACCTAGCCCCACCGTTACATGTCTGACCAGGTCCACATCGCTTTCCTGGTACGACCATCTCGACCTCCTCTATTGTTGCGCATTCCTTACCGTTGTTTACGAGTTGTCGTGTGCATGTGCAGACACCATAGATGCAGTGCGCTTCGCCAACGCAGTCGTAGCCCTTGCGCGGGTCACACTTGCCCCCGGGCAGCACCTGGTGGATGGCTTTTCTGCAGGTGTTATCCACGATTGTCTCACCTTTCTTGCACCTACAAACTCCCCTCAGACACTCGGTTCGGTAAGGGCACTCCAGGGTTAGGGTACAAGGAGATCCTGGCTGGCTTTGATCGGGGCTTTTCTTCGGCGCAGCTGCCCTGCCTTCGGAACAAGAGCCGGTGCTGTCGATTTCGCCTCGTTCGCAGATGCAGATGTGGTTGATACAAGTAGAACCTCCTGTACATTCGGTCTTGGCTTCGCATGTTTGCCCTGGAGCCGCCACCAATAATTTGTCAATCACTTCGTTAGCCTGTTCATGGCTACCAACACACTGCTCGTTGATGATTACCTCAAACTCATTGCAGACACAAAAACCGTCTTTGCACCTCGATCCACCCGAACACATATCCTTCTCATTACACTCGAAGCCTGGCCCCTTCACAGATCCCATCTTCAGCGACGTCGATGCGATAGTTGTCGTCGACTGTGATGTACTCGTCGCAACCAAAACATTCTCGCGACGAACGCATCTGCCCTTCGACGACACGTACTTCGCGACGCACATACACATTCCAAATCGACAAACACTGCCATGGACACATTTCTGACCATGCTGACATGATTTTCCGGGTTCAGCTTTGCTCATCACACATTTTCCACTATCTACGGTATGACCGTCGGGACATCGGCAAATACCGAATTCACAGCTGGAACCGCCGTCGCAAGTCTCGCCGTAGCTACATCGGCCACCTGGGGACTGACGGCATCTTCCATGAAGTTCTGTGGAGCCGTCCACGCATTGACAGACATTTCCTCGACAAGTGGATCCACCAGAGCAGCGATCACCGGACGTGCACTGGCCATTGATGTTCTTGAAGGCGCCAACGACAGAGGTACATACTCCGCTCTGGAAAAAAACGCTTTTTAAATTGCAAATATGAAAAAGTGTGAAGTTATATTTACCTGAAGAGTGAATCCATCATTGCACTGGCACCTTCCAGCGTTGCAAAGTCCATTCGGACATTCTTTGTCCGTTTTGCATTTTCCATCCATGAAACGCGGTGCAGTCATGAACATTTCTCTATCACAGCCGCCTGGCACAGCACAGTGACATATTCCATCCCTACAGACCCCATTCTGTGGACATCTTGGCGAAATGCCATTCGGATCGCAGCCATCGTTTATGCGAACGATCTCAGGAGCACAGACACCGTTCATCTCGACAAATCCATGAGTACAATGACAAACGTTTTCAATACAAACTCCATTACCAGCACTGCACTGGGAAGCGCCAGGCCAGCAGACCATTGACTGTTCGACGGCGTTGCGACGTCGACGACGCGAAAGACTAGCAGCACACCGGACGCCATCCGGACAAACACAACGATTGTCAACGCACACTCGGGGGGATTCACATGCTTCATCACAATGGGTTAGCGGGTTACGGGTCAGGGTTTTACTTTCGCACGATCCGTTTGTTAGGGTGTGAGTTGGAGGGCACACACAGACTTGGTTAATGCAGGAGAAGCCCTGCGAGCATTCCGGATGATGGCCATCAAGGTAGCCACATTTTTCGTTAGGATTGGCTTGTTCTGAAAATAGATTAGTTTGGAAGGAGGTTAACAAGATTAGAAAGAAATTATCAAGAGAACCGTGTCTCGTTGAGTTGTTCACAACTTAATATGCGTATTGCACACCAAGTGCGCTATTTGACGACTTTGATGTTGAAGCCCGCTCACTTCCACTGATTACTCCTTGTTTCCTTGTCTGTTCTATTCAACTGATTTTTTGTTAGTTGGCAGTACACTATTTTACACTCCGTTAGGCTAAAAAAGGTTTTAGTGAGGCGTTATTGATTAGGGTCGTCGATCGCCGCGTGTAGTGTGCAGGCTCACATATTAAGTTCCAAATAACTCAAGGACAGATGTTTACGTAAAATCTTTTCGGTCAAAGCAGTTAGAAAAGTGTAAGAGAATCGTGCAGTGCAGTTTAGTACGCGGGACCTTTTTGTTAGAATTTTCGAAACGTATCTAATCTGCGAAAGCCAAGCAAAACTCAAATGCGGAAAGTAAAGAAACTCAAAAGGAAACAAAAAAAACCGAGCGAGCGGAAGGCGATACCTGGCACGCAGGTCTGATCGACTTCCTTGTAACCTTCAGGACATACGCAGATTCGATCCACACATTTCGTTCCTGTATAGGCTGCTGAGCATTGCAAATCGCTTCGACAGCCGACTTGTCCCGGATAAACTACTGAAATGGGGGAGGAGCGCGTGCAAGAATTCTAGAAGTAGGCACTCACAGCAGAGAATGAAAAGAATGGAAATTTGAACTAAAAAATAGATTGCTCAAACGGGTGCGTACAGCAGCGTTATAAGCGTTTCGATTTGCAAATGACACACACAGCAAATCAACAACAACATAAGAGGTCATAAGGCTGGGCTGAGATTGCTGGCACTTAGCCAACCTTACAAAACTTTCTTTTTCTCAAATCCTACCTCTTTCGCATCGTCCTTCAATATTAACATGGGTCGAAAGGCATTGGCACGATGGAGGATTGGTATTTCCATTACAGTATGCGCCAATCATACAGTCTGTATTTAGCGAGCACGGTACTCCCACTCCAGCTTGTTTACTTCCTCCTAAAATTATATTCCTAACTTCATCTATACGGCTCTTTCGATAATAACAAACCAAGAGAGAGTTTCATATAATTTGGTTTACTGGTTGGTTTCACAGTTGGTGGTGGCATAGTCGATTGATAGTGTGAATAAGTGGTGACTTGAACTGGTTGAGCCTGTAATTTTCCTTCTTCGATTAAGATAAAAAATGCAGTTTTTCCTCGATGATCAAAGGGTATTGTACTGTACCGTATAGACAGCAGGTGCCAATGATTTTCCAAAGTTATTGTTCTGCCCGTATTGACCACCGAATGGAGAAGGCTGTGCGGGCTGTTGCGCCTGCTAAAAGTGAATATACCGGTTAGAAATCAGTCACATAGGTTTATTGCTCACCTGGGTTGTAGGTGGTACATAGACTGGAGCTAATGTGGTTGACTGAGTGAATGCTGGCTGTGGTTGAGCTGGAAGTTGACTAGCAGGCTGAGTTTGAGACGGTTGAGGAGTGGGAGGCGAGATATAGATGGGTCCTGGAGATGCTAACTACATTAGCAACATCAAATAAGTGTGTTTGAGAGTCTGGGGAAGTGAATGGGTAGATATGGTCCTAAGGCCCCATGCCAGCGCCATACTAGCGCCGTAGTCTTTTGATCGATAGAAGCCTCGCCCGAGGATTTCGGCAAGGCTAACACCGTCCTGGCACGGCGCTGGAACGGCGATGGCGCAACGTTGGCACGTTGGCAACTATAGACGCTGCATAAGCTTATGTAGTGAGAAGTTATGGATAGCATGGAAAGATTTTGATTATCAAGGGGATGATTGGCGTTCTAGCAGTATATACGGTGATGATTGCGCATATTTAGCTGGATTTAGGTATAATTAGTATTTTATTAATGCAACTCACTACGTGGAAGGTCCTTTATCGATGAGATGGGAACACAGTCGCCGTTGTACAAATCGGTGTTAGGTGGGCATACACAAACTGGTATCACGGAATCGCATACCGATCCACGTACGCAGGTTTCACCGTTGTCGCACAGCTCACCAGGTCCTGGTTAGTAATCTCGTTAACAAAGCTATTATGTGCATTTGATTTTTATTTTTTTAGTCTGGTAAGGCTTTGGAGGGTAAAACACACAAACAAAAATTATAAGCGGATATTATTGCAGCTATTATTTGAACCAAAAAATGAGTAAAATGTTAATTTGTAAATTTAGAAGCTCTACCCACCGACTTCCTTGCGCTCTTGTCTCAGTAAACAGCGATCTTCGTGCTGGATCAGTGGAGGAACACAAACACATCGACCCATCACGCAAGTGGATCCGTTATCGCATTCGGCCAATTCCGAGCACTGAGCTCCAATTCCCACTGAAATGTTTTTCCATACCTTACTGAACTTTTCCTAGCTGTGTCAAGGCACCGCTACCGTAGCTGCCAAGAAGTGAATAAGTATTACTGTAGAGTCACTTTCAAATGACTAGCACAAAATGATTCAGAAAAGCGGTCACTAAAGGATCACTGATGGCGTTTCTTAAGTTCAAAAATGGGATTTACGATATAAAAGCTGTAAATTTTACTCTACCGAGTTAATGAGACATTTTTGTCCGTCTGGATTTTTTGAGTCTTCAAATCGCAAACGGATAAAGTAGGATTTGAGCAAAATTACAGGCCAAAATGTAGCTCACACATAGCGGAAAAATATGAGGATTGGAAAAATTGCTAGCTTTATTTCTATGGAGTCAGCAAAGCAGTAATAAGAGGTAATAACAAAAAATCCAACCAAATAGGAAATGCTGTTTCATGCTGGCCTCTTAGGGCATAAATATGCGAAGAAGTCTAGAGCAGTCAAGAAGCTACAGTAATCTACAGTACTACTTTACAAAAGCGAAAAACTCAAAGTCTAACTAGTGCATTCTGAAAGCCAAAGCAGAAGCCAAACCTTTTTCGATTGGTATCGAAGCCGATGGTGGCAGCACACATTCTCCATCTTTTTCTTCGAGTTCACCAGGACATAGACAAAGCGCTATCGGCAATGTGCAGATCGAACCACCAATGCATATCTCATTTTCGCGGCAGGACTGACCAGGTCGAGCTACAGAAGCATGGAAAGATAGACGAAGTAGAGAAAGCAACATTTTGGAAGTGAAAAGCGATAGAATTACATGCAAAGACAGCTCATGCAGCTTATAACTATTCAGCACTTTCTTTTGTGAAAAAATAAACTATACTCTCAGTGTTCTTGCGTTGCCGACGACATTTGCGCGTAAGCAGTAGCAATGCGCGCTCTATGGCCAATTTTTACGCGCAAGTCACAAGCAAGTTCTCGGCATCCGCAAGCATGGCACTTATACATGCGCAAATGTATATTTGCCGTCAAATCTACTAGCCTATAATGTTGTCAAGTGTTTTTGCTACATACTTCCAATGTTTGCGCGTGCGTGTAATTGCACAATTCATTGCTCAAACGAAAGAGGATCGCGCGCGCGAGCCCGCTCGATTGAGCTCGCTTTCACCTGGATCAACATTGTGTGACCCGAGGGCAGCTAGCGTTCAAATGCAAATATTTCGGCTGTGTTTCGGACTCGATTCGTCCTCAAACGTTTCAAGTGTTTGAACACTGAAACACTGACAAGACTGAGCTTTGATCGACTACATTCAATAAAAAAATTCTAACATAATTTTCTCAAAGAAAATTTCAAATATTCTAACAATCATGTTGCATAGCAAGACAGCCGCTACTTAGTCATTAACCATTTGAGATAAAATATGCAATAATTTTTTAGAAAAAAATATTTTTCTTACGTTCGATAGCATAGCAAGATGTTTTACAATTTGCAAAACTGTTAAAAAATGACCAATCACATTCGCGTGACATAGAAAATGAGAAAGCTTGCGAACTACGCAAATAACTTCAATTCCTTTCCATTTGAAGTTCATACTAATAATGTGGTTTAGACGCTCATATTTTTTATGAAAAATTTGGCAGAACAGACACAGTAACGGTTCAGATCGATTATCTAGAAAGGTCTATGAGAAAGGGGTTAAACTACAATTTCTAGTGACCCTATAAATTCTGAAGCTATTACATTTCTTGATTGCCCCACATTATTCATTTCCAAAACAGCAGCGATTAACTTTCGTGCATCCAATTTGCTCGAGTCATCCCGACGGGAAAAAAATCCCAAGCAATGCACGTGTGCAAATATCGTGAACTCTAGTGCAGAGAGCTAATTTTGTGACAAGATTGTTAAGAAGCTTGAGTAGCAATTATCTCACTGTTCAAGATATTTTTAGGAAGAAAACTCAAACAAAACAAACCTAATTGCGGTACTTTCTTCGTTTGCGGTGGCTGAGTAGTCGTAGCATAGAGATTTTGGATATTCGGTTGGAAAACATAAGGTTCGCCGGCAGGTTTCGGATGTTCAGCAAATCCATTGGGTTGGTACACTCCAGCATTCGAAATTTCTTTTCCGGCTCCAATTTTACTCCATTGTACGTTGTTACCGTAATTGTTGTTCGGGTACGAGTTCTGCTCGCCAGCTGATCCGCTGTTCGAGCTGCTCTGCTTGTTCTGATTGTTCTGATTTCCAAAGTTCATGTTTGGGTTTGTTTCCTTATTGAAAAGGGGGCTGAAGTTGAATGTGAATGGTGGAGGATTCGTGTGTCCCGGGTTAGGAAGGAAAACACCTGGGGTCGGTACCTAAAAAAACCGTAAATTCGATGAAATCAAATTTTCGAAGAATTCAAGGCCTAACCGGTTTTTCGAAGTTTCCAAAAGATCCAAAAGAGTTAAAGCTTGTTTTTGGCTTGAGACACGACAACGTTTCCAGTTGTGGTACGCTACCGTAAGGGCAAAGGCACCTCAGACGTTCCAGGTCGCATACCGTACCGCCTATGCATGTTTCGCCGTGAGCACAGCTATTGTTCAGAATAGCTGAAATAATAAACGGAAATAGTAAATAACTACAAATTCTGTGAAATAGCTGTAGCATTTTACTACTAATCCGCGATATGTCACAAGAAAAAAAACCGTGCGCGTGTCGCGAGAATATTTGCTTGCATTTGGGAGTCAGACCCTTCTCGTTTTTCATTGTACACCAAAAGGCTTCCGATATTTAGTCGAGAGCATTAGTGCGCATTCACTCTGAATTTTCGAAGGATTTCCTCCATTTGTATAAAAACGCATTTGTGTAAAAGATCCTCAAACGGATAAACGTATCGCAAGTTTCTGGAAAAAAATTTACGAGGCACGAAATTATAAAATCACGGAAACTTGAAATGCGCAGCTAGAAAATTGTCCCAAGCTTTTTCAAAATATTGAACTTTTGCGCAAAAACGTTTTCTTACCAATATTGAGCAATGGTTGTTTTCGATGCTTCCTTTGCAAGCATTGCTGATTGATAAAGTCGAAAACCATGCCATCCGGACAGACTCTTCGTTCCCAAAAACCTGCCAAGCTGCAAAAGAAATTTTCAAGTATGAGGTGCCAAACCGTTTTATGGACGACTTACCCAGCTCCATTACTTTGACAAGACAAAAACGCTGTCGGATTTCCATCTGGATCGGCTGCCAAAAGTCCGTCCATTTCTCGATTGCATGGTAAGTTGAGACCAACATCTGAGGCTGAAAAGTATGCAGATTTTACTAAAAACTGGTTTATAAAGAGGATCCTTTAGCTCCCAAAGGACCAAAGCATAATTTCGTAGCAAGCGCGAACTTTCTCGCATCTTAATTTACCTTTGCTTTAGCGGACCAACCTCTTTGAACAAAACAAACACTGACTACGGGGGTATGATGTCATTTAGATATGTAGACGGTCACTTGTTCAGCAAACAAAGTTCGTGTGCTAAGCAGATAGTGAAACTTACCTTGGAATCAGCAAGAAAATGGATAAAAAAGATAGATATCACTAATCCTAGGGAGTAGGGACCATCCTGCTGCAGAGCAAAAGTCAGTAAATGTTCCAAATCTCGTAACAATTAATGTGTGATTAGCTTCACAAAAGAAAAACGTTGAAATTAGTGGACTTAACGTATTGCCTAGAATGGATGCGGACATTGTGAAGTTGTCTACCCCTGGTAGATCAAATTGGAATTTTTAGATCTTTCAACGTGCATTGAGAATTTCGAAAGAAATGTATTTACCTAGCAGATTAAATGTAGCAAAATAGCAGTGTATAGCGCTTCTGCACGAACCATACGAGTGACGAAATAAAAAATCATAGATGTGACAAATTTGCATTATCGTAGAGAATATGTTACAATTCTCATACATAGTTTATAGGTTCAAAAACGCTTGCTAGTATCTTCAGGTTTTTTTGCATGTTAAAAAATCTTATATTCAACGAACCTATAACATAAGTGATAATGACAGCCACAGCGAGTAGTTCCCGCATTGTATGTGTATTAAACTACAATCTCAACAGTAATATATGAAGTCGACCGATCGAAATCTGCAAATATAGTGTGTAAGAGGTCAGAAGGTAAGTTCACGACACTGAGAGTAGCGCACGTTGAGGTCGTGTCGAATTGTTTGATGAACGAACTGAGTGAGTCAGAAAGAGTTCATGAGGTAAGGCGTGTTCAAGTGGATGACCAGAAGTGACGTAGATGAAAGTGTTCAGAGGGTATGCGGTGAGCCCGGGGACGAGTGGGTGCTTGAGATGAGCCGAATGAATAGCGAATGGGTTGCGATAAAACCAGGAAATAGATTGGAGTAGTATTGAGGTCCTCGTCGTGTGAGGTCCTCGCGCGCGTCCCGGCTGGAAGAGATGGTCAGAACGAAAGTGATCAGCTCCAGGAACAGAGCCGACTGTGGCTACTCGGCCGCAGCAGAGCCGATACGGAGGCGGCTGCGCGCTCGAGTGTGCGGAATGACCAGCGGAGCAGCCACACACGGACTCGCTGCTTCTTTGATACCACTTATTTACCGATGTTCGAATCGCCGCCGTCCCGATCGACGTTTCGGGATGCCTAGCGCTTTGTGGCGGTAATGCAAGCCTACAGATTAGACATGGAATTAGGCAAAAGGCCCTATACACCTATCCAGCACTGCAACAGAGGCTGAACTAACTGCTGCACAGCGATAGCTGTGGGATGGAAGAGATGGAATTTCAAGCTAGAATCAAATAAAGAATAAACCACAACCGGAACAACTGTTTGAGAAGCTTTCACACCGTAATCCTCGTAACGTGAATATCTAGTCCAGTTTATGCTTTTGCGTGAATGTGTACAGCTCAAGAACTCTTTCAAATAAAAAGGTGTCTCGGGAACTTTGATGGCTAGCTAACTAGCTTGTGATGAACGTCTATGAAAAAAAAGCACAAAATCTACGTTGACAGATTTTCCACAAATGTTGTACTTATTTTTTCAACGTTTCTAGTTCTCAGGACCTGCTTTTGAAGGAACTGTCTCCTTTTCAAGGAATGAAATAACGTTGCCCAAAGTGACTTGTTCTGGTAAGAATACGTTTTTTTTGATACTACAAAATAATTAACGATTGAATATCAGTATGTCTAACGCTACCTAGTAAAAGGTTTTCCCGTTGAGCTTCACCTTAAAGAACTGAACTCAAAACCAACGGAATTATAAAGCTTAGGCTCAAAAATATGACAACTTCGCTTTCTGCGGTGGATTTCTTCCAAAGTTATGTTTAACTGACCCTTCACTTCGCTATAAAAAAATTCAAAAAGGTATAAGAAAGAGGAAGAAGTGACCGATGAACGAGGGTGAAAGCGCTGACCAGTGCTGTAGAGAATGAGGATGTGCACCACTTGTGCTCAAGCAGAAAGTGTCCGCTGATGTTACGACGACGATACTCTCGAAACATAGCAAACATAGAAGACTAGACTTCCACAAATCCAAGAAAAAAACTCAGGAAAAGTGGAAAGCTTGAGAGGATTCGAAAAGTGTTGCGCCGAAATCGTATGGGAAGGAAGTTTTGCTCGAATAACGCGAAATCTCCTTTCCGATAGATTTTGACGAGGAATCAAAGCGGAAATTGAGCAGATCTGAAGAGCTACGCAAATGGTATGGGGTATAGTCTCATTACGCACTTCAGAGTGCTCATTTTGGTCGACTTTATAGCTGCTATCGATATAGTTATTCTAAAATATATATCAGTTAAGCCAGAAAAGTAGCAAAAATTACGTCGCCTAATTTATGGTGAATAAAGTGGTACGGAAAATCTATAAAATATTTCAGTAAAGTCATATTAGGTTAAATCTCAAGTTTTGCATCAAAAATGAGCTTCATTCAAGAATGCCTAGGCAACTATTTCATTCATGAGATGATTTTCTGTAGTATACAATATACGTAACGTTTTATCATGCATAATATGTAGAAATTCTAGTCTGAAAATTCGAAAAAGGAAACCTGAAAATCACAGCTTTTAGTGAAGAGATCCAATTAGCACAAATTTATCTCATAACAAAGAGCAGGTCAAGAAACTTGGAGTAAGCTTGAAACCACAGGTTGCTAGACCTTCCGTTGACGATCAGAATTTGAAAAAAATTAAATTCAGGAGATTGTGATAACGATTCCTGTTCTAAATACTAGCAAAAACCGCATGATTTTCTCTCTCTACCTCATATCATACTAAAAGGAATCATTGAGTTTGCACGAAATCACAGATTTTCCAGAAATCTTGGTGCAAGACTTTCAACCTATTATGACAAAAATCAGAAACCTACGAATTAGAGCGGTTCCAAAAAGAATACGGTGAAAAGTGAACGACAACCAGCACATTTTATCTTAGAATCTGTCTTTTATTCGTTTCTTTGACATGCACGGATGTAATGACAACGGCTCCACCCTCTACATGCGCTATGTTTAGCCTAAATCTTAAAGCTGTGCTCAAAGTGCGTCGTTTTTTTTCGTAATGGTATCTTGGACGAAAGTACAAATAGAGGTGCTGTCAGCTGCAACTTTTTCTTCGGCTCCACGAATGCGATCGAGACTCCAATTGGTTAATCCGTCTTCGAAAATCTGGATTTCTGGTTTAGACAATTCAAAAAAGAGCTGCCGCTTCGTGGAGGAATTTGCAGTGGTTAAGGAGATTTGGGTAGAGTTTTGGAAAACAGGATATAGGACACTCCCCATGGCAGTCGTTAGCGGAGGTAAATTTTAAGAAAGCGTCTTCATAACTGGAGTTATCAAAACTGGTTTTATTTCCAGGTTCTCATCACATTATGAAAGCATGACATAGAAAAATGGAAAGAATCGATGATGACAAAAAAACGAGAAAATGGCAAATAATATGTTTAAAATGACTAAACCAAACGTACTTCATAGAAGGATCCCTCAACTATGAGAGACAAATACGATGCGCTCAGCCCTCTCACAGGCTCAGACCTGGACAAAGTTTGCGCCTGTCAAGGAGTCACGAAAACACGCCCATTCTTTTCGAGCGATCCCCTTTGTTGGATCCTGTCCTAGGTCCAGTAAGTGCTACTATTGAGTAGGTGTGCGAGTTTGAAGAAGGAAAAATTTTGGCGCGGGTTTGCTTAGGAGCTACTGGGTTTGCAATAATTTACAGCTTTAGTTGATAGAAATGGCGAAAATCAACCCCGGAAAAGCTCTGCGCAAGCACTAAAGGAGAAGTCGAGTAGGCCCCGAGTGCCACGATGGTACGAAGTCGTGTGCGAGCCCCAGTACTTAGCCTCATCTCAAGTGTCGATGGACGTTGAGATCACGTGAGAAGATGGGTCAGAGCGCGCCGGACAGCTCGAGCGCCGAGCTCCGAGCCGAGCCGCACATGGTTGCACAGCTACACGAAGTGATTCGTTCGGCTGCTCGTCCTATCACTTATACCACCTATGAGCCGCTGCAAAAATCATCCAAATCGTTGACGAGTGCTTATTTGCTACGCGTACTGGGTGGTCTGCACCATAGCACGGTCCTGTTTCTTGGATTTGTTCGTAATCATCGAGCAAAAGAAACTCGGCGCGGAAAAATGTGGGTGTAATTTGCGTTGGTGTCTTGTTGAGAGAGGAACAATAGGAGCTGAAGAGGTGATGCTCATGTCTCGGTGTTACGGTAACTGTAGGATGCACGGGACGAATACTGTAACATTCTGGTAGCCTTTGGGAATTTGCATTTGCAAATTCAATCAAAATAAATTCAGTGAATTCTGGATTATGAAATAAAGGAGAGATATCACATACAGGCGAGCCTATTCAAGAAAAATACCTTGAAACATGACCAATCTTCTTGAAATTCAGCACAAGCACCTTGATTCTGTCTCGCTACATTTTCGTATTTATAAATTCTTATCACATGCCGTTCATGCTCCGATTCAGAAAAAAAACTCCCCGTCCCAGTGTAATCCGACAAGACAATCCGTTGACAAAGTGAAGCGGCTCGCTAACCGGGTCATTGTTTACGGTGGCTAAGACCGTCAATGGAAAAAAACGTACCAAAATACCACTTTTCTTGATGAGTCATTCCACGCTAAATGCAGGATTTTGTACAACTGGTTCACACACTATACACTCCACACGCAACGTGTTTTCTTTTTGACACTTAAAACTTTACCAACAAGCTCGATTATGTGCTAGTTTAGGCTAGAACTTGCGAGAACAAGTCTTTCAGTTCTTTGCTGTCTGCGGAAATTTTTGCCTGCGGGTGTTTACGTTATAGGAGTGACAGACACAAACCATACCGTAAGACCAGTCAATTGTTTACTATAAAGATTTGAGGCAAAACCACCTACTTCAATAGCAAGAATCTTCTTGACATCCTTCCGTTTTCTTGGATAAGTAAACGAACTTGATAATGCGCTAAGCATGTAAATTATTGTAACAATTGCTGATGTAACTAAAAGTTATCAAGTTGAACAACTGTTTTTACAGAACAAAATAAGTTGCTGGTTTGCTTCAAACCCATGACACACACAGGCATCCACTGTTGCATGAATGTGAATGAAAAAAGGAATAATTTTGTCTCAACTACTCCGAATAAAATGATGTTTGAAAGTAGAGGCGTTACGAGTTACCAAAAGAGCTCAGTCAACCGTTGCTGCCATAATAAAAGTTTCAGAAGTCCATACTATTAGGTTGTTCCAAAAGTAATGTCGCTTTTTTGAAATGAACGTCACATTCGTGGAACAAAGATGTTAAAGAGATCTTGGCATTCAATGCTGCATTTCATCCTCTTTTTAATGGTTATACGATCGTTGCAGCAAAGTTAATGAGCTTTCGGAAAATTACCAAAATCTGCGACCCAAGCTTTTTAAGATGGTCAAGTTTCATTTTCTAAGTTTTTATATCATCCTTCCAAGTAACGGTCCGATACAGCAATCCTTGAAGGAGACAATACTACTCTTCCCTCTTTTTCATAGCTCGCCATAATGTTTCAAAAGCTTATTTACTAATAGGAATGGATTGAATTTTGGCAG